TATGCTGATATTTACCAAGTCCCATACTATGAGCCAATATACATCCATTCATTTCTTGGAACAACGCCTTCCACATAAATGCAACACCTTCCTTTTGGTGTGGTTTCAAAATTTCCACCAATTTTTCATCCACTTTAATGCCTCGTTCAGCATCCAATATTAATTGATTCGCTTGATTCATATTGCTCTTAATTATTATTAATTTTGCAAAAAAACGCACAAAATAAGTTTGGAATGAACAAGCGAGTTAGTTTCTTGCTAAACTATGCGCAAATATACCACGTCATATTTAATTTCATCACTTAGAACTATATTACCAATACAATGCAATCGCAGGATATACGAACATACATACGCAAATATGCGATAACAGCAGACGATTCGCGGTTCGCGGTTTTCTCCAAGAAAAACAGATTTTGACATTTCCATAACAGTATACAAGTAATATGCTTGTATGTGTGCAAATTAAGTAGAACGGTCTGAAATAAATTTATGCATAATTTAACATTGCATTAGAACGATCACATTCGGCGAATTTTCATGAATTAGGTACAGTTTCAGGTGTCTGTGAATTTGAACGGTTTTTAAATATCCAAACTCACGGCAACACATTAATTTATGCGTAATTTTTTTTATCAGACTATGAAATTATTATTGTTATGTTAATAATCATGCTGAATTAGTCAAATGCTGAATAGTTTTTCAGCAATTTTTGAATTGTATGAGCATTTTCAAAAGAAGAAAATATAATAATAAGATAAAAATGAGCACAACCAAAACAAAGGACTCTTTTGTGTTTTTCATTTCCATTCGATGGGTTTATTGATCTCACAACAGCAAGAGAACAAAGTGAAGTAAAATAATTTTTATAAGGTGTAACAATTATTCTCTGTGTCCACATGTATCGCACACAATTTCATATAAAAAAGACATTCAATCAAAACATCCTACGTCTTATCCAACAATTGAAAATGAGCGAAAATGCTTTATAGCCGGTGTGTGTGTGTGTGTGCGTGTGTGCGTATGTGTGATATTTTTAGATTTACAAATTGTACATTATATTCTTCTACTTTTTTTCCCCACTCATGCGGAATACAAACAATTAATGGACTTTTCATTTTGTTGATGTCAAACAGTTGGGAATGTATTTTAGTTTCACATGATATATTGTACGAAATGTGTTTCATTACAACAGCTTCATCATCTTAATCATTTTATTAGACACGATGTTTTCTTATTTAATTCTTAATTATATCTGTAAAACCGTAACTGCAGCCAAATGTTTTTTTCTTTTCTATTTAGTTGTTTTTCTTGTTTGTGAACGTTTTTGTGTTTTTTCTTCACGTTCTTCTTTCTTCAATTTGATGGCTTATTTTCTATGTTGTATGTATTTTTTTCGTGTGGTTTTTGAATTTTGCACTAAAAGTCATTGAAAATATCTACAGTTCGTCATGCGATGCAGCATCGACATGTGACGTGTGAACGCAGGCGGCTGGCGTTTCAAATTTGAATAAATATTCACAGCGATTTGGTTCGGAAACGGCAGTGATTCTGTTGTCTAAACCACATTCCAATTGAACAATTGTCGAACGTTGTGGCCCATTCCAACAGCCGGCTCCATTTGCGTATACCATTGTTGAATATTTATTTGGCTTGCCGTCCCATCGATCCCAAACACCAAGTCTAAATGAAAAGAAATAAGACAATGATTAATAAGATTGACACACTCATCATATAGGAAATGAAACGGTCATTGAGAGACATTGAGCTGTGCATTGCAATGGTGATCAATGTCGTCTGATCTAAAATCGTATGCACATGCAACTCCCTTTTTATTATTTAATTTAGATGTAAAATTGTACCTTGTTTCGCTGCCATCTTTTGGTTTTTGAACGGCACGATCGAATGGGCATAGTTTATAAATGTATTCTCTGTCTTCGTATTCGAAGCATTCTCCATTCAAAACAGCAAATTCTTCATGGAAACCATAGTCTTTGTTGAGCAATTCTTCAATTTGTCTTTTCTCCGATTCCAAATCACTTAATTCCCGTTGAGCTGCCTCGAATTCGGTACGAGCTTTAGTTGCCTCTTCGATCAATCGCTTTGTTTCATCATCATATTCCGGTTCACTTGGTGCTTCAATTTGTTCGACTTCACCTTCGCCGGTTTCCTCTTCGTCGAATGTTTCAGCATCTTCTTCATTCAATAATTCGGCTGTCTCACCATCTTCGTCTTGAGCCTCTTCGTCTCGTGCAGCAACTTCCTCTGGTGTTGTTTCTTCGCGAGTGGTTTCAATTTTACCCTCGGTGGAAACAGGTGGTTTAAATAGGCCTGCGTCGAGCATTAAATATGGCTTCATGCGTGGCCAACACACTGTAATGAATGTCTCCAAATCGACTTGATCGTTATGCTCCAAGAAGTACTATAAAAATGGGGAAAAATAAGACTTTAAATTGTTAAAAAAACGTGATTGCGTTTACCTTGGCCTCTTCTTCATCAACCTGACCGTCACGGTTCGAGTCAAATTGAATGCGTGTTGTAATTTCTGCAATTTCAACGACACCATCTTCGTTTGAGTCAAAAAGTTTGAATTTTTCCTCGGCTTCCGCTCGATTCTCTTGTTCAGCCAGCTCGACTTTTCGTTGTTTTTCGGCATCGATGATTTGCTTGTATGTTTCAAGTGCTGCTGATTCCAATTTCACAGCGTCTTCTTTGATCTTTTCACGTTCGGCCATCAGTGCTTGTGCTTGATCGATTGACTGTTGAATGGTATTCAAACGACCGCCATGCTCTTCTTTCAATGCTTTTCCTTTGGTGCTCATCTCAGCACGAACCACACTACCACGCTTCAATAGATCGGCCAAGACTTTTTGCCGTTGTCGATCCTCTTGACCCAATTCTTCGCAGTTATTAGCGCATTGAGTACTCGATGCGTATTCATCGGAAGCATCACAACAATCGCAAATATTATCGTTGACTCGAGAACTTGGAATATACATTGATTTATGGCCAGCATTTTCACACAAGAACCGTCCATTTGGACACGCACTTGTGCCTGCATGATAAAGAGAATTTTCATGATTTTAGTGTTTAAAGTCCAATAAAATAAGCGCAAACGGTATGACGTTTAACTTACCTGGTTCATCGCTGCTATCGGCACAATCGCAATAGTCATCATTGACCTGTGTGTATTTTATCGTCAATTTACCATCCAGACAAGTGAATGTTTCACCCGGTGCATACAAACTGGCGTCGGCCAGTGAAACACCTCTGGGTCGTGGCAATTCCGCCGCAACAAAAATGCCGAAATACAAAAACGCTAGTAAAGTGCTTAACATTTTCTTTAAATTTATTAACATTTTGTGACACTATCGATTACGCTTGGCCAATTTAACAATAGACAAAACTATAAATTGAGGTAAAATGTTTTATTTAATTAAGTAATTGCAAACTAAAATGAAATCTTTTAAAAATTCATCGATGGAATTAATTTTTTTTCTCTGGTTAATCTTTTGCTTACTTAAGAACTACTACACGTAAGACAATGCCAACAACATTGACAGCGTGAGATAAACGTCGCAGCGACATCAACTTCACTCTTTCAGCTGATTTTACGTTAAAAACGAATGGCATTCGAAACTATTTTCCGATCATTTCAAATCATTCATCCTAAAATGTGAAAAATAAAAAATGTTTTTTCAACCAACGATTTCTCCACGCATTTTTTCATTCATTTCAAATGATTTAGCAAATGAATTTCATATTTTTTGCCGGTATTCAGTTCGTTCAATTTGAGTAGCATGTACCTTATCTTTTTTACTTGTGAATATTCCAATGACATTTCACGGGCTCACGCGTACCAACATAGCGACGCTCAAATTCGTGCGATTCATTCTCGAACAATGAAAGAATAACGTGATTCGATTCATCATACAGTGTGTACATTCGTTTGGTGCTAAAAGACCAACGCAAAATAACTTTATACTACTTTTTTCCACTTGTTTAGAATTTTTTCTATTTTCCGAATAAAAAAATGTCAACAGTTGCGAGTGCTTTATCAATTGCCGGTTCACGAACCTCTGGCGCACCAGTTCGTACACAAAATGGTAAGTAATTTATTAAAAAATTGGCAAAAAATGCACAGATGTCGGCAAAAATTATACCTCAAACATTAGTCATCGGTTGCACGCGGTGAACATTGATTGAACGCTATGTGAAAAGAGTCAAATGAGAATTGTGTGAAAAATTTCAGATTTGAAATGTATTTTCCTAAGAATTACGAAATTCTGTTGAAACATTCACTTCTGGTAAAGTTTCTCGGTGAAAATAATGATAAATTTAACGAAAATTGAGGTTAGAATTTCAATGTGTTTTGTGTAACTTTTTGTGGGTGCGGTAATTTCAAATGTTGATGGACTTTTTCGGTGATGCTTTACGATGGAAAATTAATATTATGTTTCATTTTGTACAGTTATGGCAGCAGCTGCAATTGCCAACATTCTTAAGAGCTCATTGGGCCCAGTCGGTTTGGATAAAATGATGGTCGACGACATCGGTGATGTTACCATTACCAATGACGGTGCCACAATTCTCAGACTTTTGGAAGTTGAACATCCAGCCGCCAAGTGAGTTTATACACTAAACTTTTCGGAAAATTTAACTTCATCTCTATTTAATTGAATGAACTTTTGTTTTATAGAGTTTTGGTTGAATTAGCTCAATTGCAAGACGATGAAGTTGGCGATGGAACCACATCTGTTGTCATTTTGGCTGCTGAACTTTTGAAGGTAAGGATATCTTGCTTGATTTTTTAGCTGTTTAAAAAGTGAGAATGGAAATGTTAAAAAATGTTCTTTTTGCGGTTTTCAGAATGCCGATGAATTGGTGAAACAAAAAATTCATCCAACTTCAATAATCTCCGGATATCGTTTGGCATGTAAAGAAGCCTGCAAATACATTTCGGAGCATTTAACAGCGCCAGTTGATGATTTGGATCGTGAGACCATCATAAATGTTGCCAAAACATCAATGAGCTCAAAATTGATTGGAGCCGATGCAAATTTCTTTGCTGCCATGGTGGTTGATGCTGCTCAAGCCGTTAAGATTTTGGATCCAAAAGGAAATCCAGCATATCCAATTAAAGCTGTCAACGTACTTAAAGCTCATGGAAAATCAGCCCGCGAAAGTATTATTGTTCAAGGTAAGAGTCGAAAAAATCGACAATTTGACATCGAAAATAGATATATTTAAGTAGATGATTACTACGACGAATGTGAATATAAAAAGAAGAGAGTCTCTCAACGAATCAAGAGTTTTACTCATCTCATTTCATTTTGATGAAATTCCAGGCTATGCTCTTAACTGTACCATTGCCTCGCAACAAATGCCACGAAAGATAACCGGCGCCAAAATTGCCTGTTTGGATTTCTCATTGCAAAAGACAAAAATGAAGATGGGCGTCCAAGTTCTGACCAACGATCCAGACAATTTGGAAAAAATTCGTGCACGTGAATTGGACATCACCAAAGAGCGTATCAATCGCATTTTGGCAACCGGTGTCAATGTTGTTTTGTGCTCAGGTGGCATTGATGATTTGTGTTTGAAATATTTCGTTGAGGCCGGAGCAATGGCTGTTCGTCGTGTGAAAAAATCCGATTTGAAACGTATTGCCAAGGCAACCGGTGCATCATATTTGACATCACTTACAAATCTTGAAGGTGAAGAACAATTCGATGCATCAAATGTTGGAGAAGCAGCCGAAGTCACCCAAGAGGTCATTTGCGATGATGAACTCATCTTGATCAAAGGACCAAAAGCAAGGTAAATTAGAAAAAAAATCAATGATCTTTTAAAGAATTTTAAACTAATGGGATTTTTAACGATATCAAAAAAAAAACAGAACGGCATCATCAATTATCTTGCGTGGTCCAAATGACTTCTACTGTGATGAAATGGAACGATCAGTTCACGATTCATTGTGCGTTGTTAAACGGGTGTTGGAAGGCAAAAAAGTTGTTGCTGGCGGTGGTTGTGTTGAAGCTGCCCTTTCAATCTACTTGGAGAACTTTGCTACTTCATTGGTAAGTTCCATTAATATTCAAAGTCTTTCGAAGCATTATTTTAATGGAATTTTGTCCATTTACAGAGCTCACGGGAACAATTGGCCATCGCTGAGTTTGCCAAATCATTGTTGGTTATCCCAAAAACGCTGGCCGTAAACGCAGCCAAGGATGCCACCGATTTAGTAGCAAAATTGCGCGCCTACCACAATTCCAGCCAGACAAAAGTCGATCACGCCAATCTTAAGTGGGTCGGCTTGGATCTGGTACAAGGTGAAGTTAGAGACAACAAAAAAGCCGGTGTTTTGGAGCCAGCCATGTCGAAGATCAAATCATTGAAATTCGCCACAGAAGCCGCTATCACAATTCTTCGTATCGACGATTTAATCAAATTGAATCCCGAAGATAAAGGAGACGCAAGAAACTATGCTGATGCACGGGCACGCGGTGAATTGTAAACAGTTATAATGAATTCCAACCATCTTCAGTTCACGAAATACAACTCATTCACACAAACACAAACACACCTCACCAAACAAACACGAAAACTAGCTTGCATTTTTTTCTCTATGTTTAACATTATATCGGCTTAAAGAAAAACTGAAACGAACACCTTGGAACAATCTAAACACATAAATTTATTCGATTTATTGAAAACTATTATGTAGCTAATGTATTTTTTTCTCGTTTAAAACAATTAACAATAAATTACAAGTGAAGAAAAGCTTTCAAATTTATCAATCGTCTTTGGATCACTTTATTATTTCTGCTTTAGGGTCTCCACTTGTTTGGTCAAAATATTGATTTTCGCCTCGTACGTTTCTTTTAGGTCCTGTGAATCAAGCGAACATTTAAAGAAAAAAATGATAAAAAAGAGCGCCTGTGCCAAAAATACAAACTTTAAAAATGTTCCGTTGTGTCTCGTACTCCTTTGTGAGTGATGTTTCTTTTTGTTTGGCCAAATTAAGTTTCTTCTCCGTAAGAAGGTATCGATCATTTTCGCTCTTTACTCGCAATTTCATTGAATCCAAACGTGATTGCATGTGGTCGTTCTCGATATTCTTCAAATTCAGCATGTCTCTCGTAATGTCCAAGACATCTTTATTTGCTTCGATTTGAGTATTCAATGCTTCCAATTGTAATTCTTGTTTTTTACAAATTTTCGTCTTCTCAAACAACAATTCTTTGGCACGAATGAGTGTATCTTCGTCATCGGTCTTGTTCTTCGATTTGCCACTGAATGCCGAGAGATCTTTCAATATACTTTCAAGCTCTTTGTTTCGTTCCACCAAACGTACATTCTCCTCGACTTTTGACTAGAAAATTTGCTTTACATCAATAAAAAAAAAGTCACTCAACACGTTCAGTGTGTCAGTAGCACTTACCTCAAGTTCATTTTCCAATTTTTTAACTTTGCCACGAACAATTTCAATGAATTTTATTCGATCTTCTTCGAGTGCTTTTACTTTGGCCATCAATTCCAACTCTTTGGGAGTGTGTGTCTCAATTTGAACAGGTGTTGGTGCCATTTTTTATTAAAAAAAGAAAATTGAAAGAAAAACGATTAGAGAACAAGATCGATTCCCGATACGATTTTTCGGTAACTAAGTTTGACAATTCAATGCTGAACGCCTAGGCACATCGCTGTGAATCGTAAGATGCTTCGTTGTTTTATTTTTAAACTGGCGCGCATTACACAGTGCTTAGTGTAGAATGTACACAAATAGCATCATATTAAAAAACTAACACAGATACTTTGGTCGCATTTCAAAACTCAATGTAGAGTTTTATAGTGGGATATCTATGTATGAAAAATTAAAATTAGCGTATAGCTGTGAATTTCATATAGGAAATATCCGAATTTCTATGCAATAATTTCCATCAGCTCCGAGTGACCCATTATGCATTGGTGAAAAAAAAATTTAATCGCGCTATAGGTCACCACATAAAATAAACGTTTTTATTCCAAAGCATGAATTCTATTTAAGAGAAGAGAGAAAAGAAAAAAATGGTTTGTTTCCCAAAAAAAACAAGCATATATGCGATACATTTCATTCTATTCATTTTGTTGTTGTTTTTAATACACTTTTTATGTACTTTCATCCGCTTAACGAATTTATTTTTTATTATTATTTGTTGTGTGTGCATACGCGTATTGTTTGTCCTTTTTCGGTTTCAATTCAAAATGCGTGCACCGCTGGCAACCCTCCTTATAGTAAGAACAAAAGCGTGCGTGTACACAGCATACATACGTTCATCGATATACAATTCAACCCTTCAAGCGTATCAAAGTGTAGTAAACATTCATTCATTTCGAGAAAGACCCCCTACACCAATCGTGAATCACGATATGGCGCAAGCATGCGCTATTGTTTACAACTTTTCCACATACAACCACACACATATATACAGATGCAAACGCACAATTTCATTTTCAGACATATTCCAAAAGTGGTTCTCGTACTCCAAATAGACCGAGAACTCGATTCTCAGAACTGAAACTCGTAAAAAAGTCTTTCCTCTTCAATCGTGTATAATATTTAAGTTAGAAAAGTACGCATATTCATTATTGTGCGGCCAATTTGGTCAATTTCGATATTCATAAGAATAGCATCGATAAAACGGTGAGTGATTGTAAAAACTGCGGTTTGATAACCCCGACACCGTCTGTTCTGTCTGTGTCGATTAGAACACATACTTATTGAAAGATTAATATAGAGAAAAAAGAAGAGACGAGTACAATGGAGCCGCCATCATCAGCAGCAGTAGCATACAAATACGAGTAAGCACACACCTATAAAAAACGAAATCTTTTTTTTAAATTAACATTTCACTCGTACAAAATGTTTGCAATTTCAAGTTTTTCAATTTTGACTACTTTTATTCACATTATTTTACGTTCGAATTGATTTTTTTGGGTAAAATAACAGCTTCCAAGTGTGATTTTTCTTGTTGAATGTTTTTCCAAGACTGTTGAATGTTATCGTGATTGTATTGGCACTGATTCAGCTCTGATGTGATACATTCTACGTGTCTTTTTTTCTCTTACAGTTTTTAGAGCAGTTGCAATGGCAGTGACCAAACGACGACAATAAAAAAACACATTACCAAAACGAAAATGTTTGCGGCGAATTTTTGTGGGCCTGGACGGTGTTTTCCAGTGCTTTGCAAGCAAAATAAACTAAGTTCTTCACATTTTTGGATCCTAGTTTTCCTCTTGCTACTTCCATTGTTAGGAATTAGCGCGGAAAAAAATAAGGATTGTAAGTGATTTGTATTCTGGATTTTATTTTTCGTTCAGTCTCGTCTCAATAAATGATTTAATTGTTGTGTCCATTCGATTTTATTTTCCAGATCATATTGAAACATTGTGTAAAAATCATTTTTCCCAGATGATGTATAAAAAAATTGACGGTGCAGTGGTGATGTCGAAAAATGAACGGAATCTTAATTGCGTGGTCACATTCCAGACCCATTCAATTTTACAGCGTTTTATGTTGCGCTTTGATATGCTTCAATTAGATTGTAACGATCATTTATTCATTTATGACGGTGCAAATGCAGTTGGACAACAAAAATACAATGTATCGTGTAGAAACACAAAACAATTAGTCGGTTCGTTGTTTACGCATACCAATTTTGTCACATTAAAGTACGTTACGGATAATTGGGGCACTGACAACAATGGGTTTAAACTTGTAATAACCGCCATTAAAGACCCAAGTGAGTAATGTGAAATGAAACATTGAGTGCATTTTATTTGGTTTGAACCGTTGAAATCCAATTGAAACTAATGTGTTATGCGTGTTTGTTTGATATTGATTTGCATTTTAGAGCATGTATGCCAAACCTTTTTATGTGCTTCACGTGAGCTATGCATCCATCCAGATTTGGTCTGCGACGAAATCAACCATTGTGGGGATAATTCCGATGAAAATCATTGTCAGAGTAAGTTCAATTTTCACTAATGGGTGATAATAAATAAATTGAAAACAATTTTAACAAATCGAATCCATTACAAGTGACGAATCGTTTGACTGACGACGTTTTCATTCTAACCAATTGCAATCGATTTTTTAATAACAGATAACAAAGCAACAACATTGCTTGGATTGGAGTTAACGTGGCTTGTCCTCGTATCGGTGACATTCTTTTTGGCCATCGGAGGAGTTTTGGCGGGTTTACTCATGTGTGTATGCCGTCATAATTCGAATTCATCGGAAAATCAGATTCAATGTAAGTTTTATTAATGTGTGAAGCTCTATAAATTATTCGGAATTATAGCAATGGTGTCAATATCTATTATTAAATTGTGACTGGTCACCTCATGTCAAATTTCTTCATTTTTTATTCGATTCCCCAGCAATCGACATGAATGGATCAACGAAATATATGCATAAATTGCATTCACATAAAACGGCATCGTTGTCGGGAAACTGGCATCACCCTGCGAACAAACACGGGTACATACAACAAATATTGTCGACGGTCACCGAACACCAAATGCACATTTGGCATCTAACGATCTATTAAATATGAAACAATTTGATCCAACTAATTTATCCCAGACTACAACTTCGACAACGATCGTTACAACAGCACAGAAAGAAGAGTGGTTTGTTTGAGAAGACGCACACACGACATACACACATGCAGACCATATGCAGCGCATATCGATGAAACAAATGGTGGACGGCAACGGCCAGAATTTTTCTAATGAATTTTTCTTTAGGATATTTCGATCGTGATCAAGAATCGTAGACAAAATGAACAAACAAACGAAAACAAAAGCAGATGGATAAATTATTGTGTACTCATATTTATTAGGTAAAATGATGCAAAAAGAAACATTTATATTTTGATGTTGAGTGACTTGAAAACAATATTGCTAAGAATATCGAATTCGCAGGGTGTAAAAATAAAAATTTACAGGATTGTACCCAAAAACCGAAAAAAAACCAACAAATTTACCAAATATTCCATATCGGAAAGAAACGGTGAAAATGAATAATTAACAACAACAACAAAAAATGTCACATACACATAGTACATTTTCTCTCTCCATTTTTTGAAGACTTTTTTTCGATCATATCATTTTTTGACTGTTTTATCAGAGAATTTTTTTCTAAACGTTTAACAACTGAAATAATAAAAAAAATGATATAAAATAATGAATTGTAGAGAATATATATCAAGCACTATGTTAGTTAAGAATGAAACACAACAAACAACAACAGCAACAAACTATCAGTTCAATTAACAGAGAAAAATACACACAAAGAGATAAATTTTAAGAGATTAAATGTAGTTAAAAATCGAAGAGACTTTAAGGTCGTGTTGAAAATTTATTTTTCCCCCTTTATTGTAACTGTATCGAATTCAATAGAATGCAATTGTCTGTGTATCAACAGAATATAGAGATTCCTCCAAAGAAACACAAAAAACACACCTGAAAAGAGAATATCCCCCCCCCCCAAACTAAATCCAAAATATTTTACATTTCTTTTCCGATTTTGAGAAAAACAATCAAAAATTTAATTTTTCGAAAAAAAATCAAAACTTCTATTTTATTTTATTTTTTCCACGCAATGTTTGTTTACACAATTAACATATCTTTTTTCTTGGTAAATTTCAAAATTTCTTAATTACGTCCGAATTCTAATCAAATCTATTTTTAATGCAATAGACTTATTTCATTTTAATTATTAATTTAGATAACATTAGTTTAGAATTACGTGAAGCCCGAACAGAAGGAAAATGCAATTATTACACATTCTTTGTTCAATTATTAATAAATGGGAAAGGAAATTAAATCGAACAATTTGATGTCAAATTATTAAAAAAAAAAAAACAAACAAACCAACAAATAGAGAATAAAAATAGTGAATATTGATGGCCTGATTCACATGGGTGTTTTTTTTTCTCTGACTCAATCATTTTTATCCATTTGACAGCTTATCGATGGAATCGAGAGACATGCGTTGCCAATGACCATTTGGTTTTGAATTCCTTGCCGCACGTTTTGCACGAGATTAATTGTTTGATTTGTGAGTGTCTATTGGAAATGTGTAATTAATGAATAATTTAATGGGTTCAACCTGTTGAATTATTTGAACTTACCTTGATGCCATATGCCGACGCTTTGCAGCTATCGATGTGAAGGTGCGATTACACGATTTACATTTCAAATTTTCATCGACCCCGCTATTGTTATTCCATGCTGAAATTGGGACACAATATGAAAAGACAAAAAAAAAAAACGAAAAAAGGAAAAGTTAAGTAACTATAATTGAACTTCATTAAATATGAAATTAAATACAAAATGAGAGAAAAAGAAAAAAAAAGTAAAACTAAAAAATAAAAATGAAAGATTCGTCGTTTAGCTCTCATTCAAAAAAGACATATTTTATTTTTGTTTTCATTTGTACAGTTTGGCCTTAAAACTTAGTTTTTCATGTTGTATATTCAAATGATTTTTGTTTAGTGTCAGTTGCAGTCACGACTGTTACAATAATAATTCACTTAAACTTGTACAAAAAGCTAGACTTATATTTGCAACCGAGTGCAACCATAAGATTTGTATTTCTACACGTTAAATTGTGGGTTCAAAGGGGGAAAATGTGTATATATAAATGAATGTTAGATTTTGTGTTGAATGATTGTTTTTTATAAATAACGCTGAAAAGTGGACTAAAATCGATTGAAAACTGAACGGCTTTCTAAAGAAACGAAAATGGACGTAAAATTGAAGCAGGAATTAAATTAAATTCTCCCGAATTAGTTTGCACTCATAAAACTATCTGTATACACTCTTTAAAAAAAAGCTTCGAATCCAAATGATTTCTTTCTTGTCAAAATAAACTCTATTTTGTGCTTCAATTTGTAATTTTTTTTAGATCTATCAACCGATCAATATATGGCACACAATACATGTGTAAATTGCGTCCATTTAGTTTTCATTTGTTTGAATTCGGTAAAAAAAAACTCTCCTCTCAATCGAGAGTCACAGGAGACGATCTCACTTAATTCGATCAAAATGTGTGACGAATGGTCAGATGGTATGATCTAAATGTGACGATGATTTTGTTTAGGTCGTGGCCGAACCAGGTTTTTGCTCATGTGCGATACGAACATGCTCACGTAGACTGTACTTGTTTTTGAATTTCTTTTGGCAATGTTCACATTGTCGGGGCGACTGTTCGGTATGTTGGGTTCGAATGTGTCTCCAAAGATTGACTGTCGTTATTATTAGCTTGCAAAATTGACATTGTGACCATTTACTCGGTTGTCCGTCTAGGTGGGTAGTCAGTTCGGCACACACAGCATCGACAACAAACCAAAATAAAACCGGAAACGAAAAGATAAAATATAAATAAAAAATAAATAAATCAACAACACAAATGTGAACGAAAAGCAAAAAGAAGTCAAACCCAATGTAAACATATTAACGGTCGACAGAAGAAAAGAAGAAAACAATGTTGGCATGATTTAAAATTTCACTATAGATTTACATACCAGGTGTTGGTTCTTGTCCAGATCGTTTAGACTCCGGAGTCGGTGGACCGCCTGAAGAAAATAAACGACCTGCAATGAAAAACAATGATTTTATTAGATGAAATGCATTTTTGATGTTTCAGAACTGAACAAAAACGAAAATTGTTTGAAAATGACAATGGAATACACACACAAAAAAAGGCCAGAAAAGTGTTTAAAGAATTTTAATTTTGTAAAAAATAAATAAAGATGTCGAATAAAGAATGGCATCTATATACCCAATTCTGCCTGTGTTGCCAGTTTTGGCTTGTCAAAATCGTCATCTGTTTTCGCTGTAAATAGAAATTGATGGCAAAATGAGTAAAAGATACTTGAATAGATGGACTTGTTAAGCGTCAAACCAAAATTTCGATAATAAAATAGAAAGATGCATCGAATTTGACTCTTTCACATTTACCGTTATCTTGAGATCCAGTTTCGTAAGTTCCAATTTCACCTTCTGTCTGATATGGCTTGTCGTCCTCGTATTCTCCTGAAATATCTGTGTCCATTTCCTGTTTCAAAAAATCCTCGGCTATTTGGAACAAATTGACGTTAGTCTTTGGTTTTATAGATAAAATGGTAAAATGTCGCTTACTTTCATGTTCCGCTCGCTTAGCGACGGGCGATGCACTTTCTCCAGCTGGCTTCGGTGCATTATTCTCAGCATAAGTAACCGTTTTTGTTTCAGCGGGTGTTATGATTTTTCTCTTCCGTTTGGCTGGAATAACATCGGCTATAGAATATGAAAATAGGCATGAGCTCGTGTGTTGAACAATAAGCGAATGTTAAAACATGTAATAAAAAACCACCTTGCATAAGAGTTGTTGGTGCTTGTGCCATTGTTGTGTAAACAATTTGATCGACCGTTCCAGCGTTTGTGGTGCCAATAATTGAAATTGGTTTTGAAAGTGTGAACTTTTGTGTTGCCAAATGTGTTGTGTCGCGAACGGCTTTGCCAAGAGTTTGTCCATGAATGGTGATTGTATTCTGTGGTGTATGTGTGGCCAGAGCGGCAGCTACAACAGTTTGTTGTGGTTGTGGCGGTGGAACGGCAATGATGCTTTTGTCCGACTGTGTGCCGTCGTCTTCGGTCAAACCTTGAATCGACAACATTTCGGCGGTGTGCAAAAATGTGGGCAAAGCATCTTGTTCGATGTTTACTTCTCCTTGGTACATATACACAACGATTGATAACAAATCATCGTATTTGACATTCTTGAAAATGATCACGGGATGCTGACACGGATTTTCTTTGAAAATCTCTTTAAAATACGTACTGCATGCAGACAATAGAACTTTATGAGCACGAATCTTCCTGCCCTCCACACACAATGTCACATCACAAAAATCCTCTTTCGACCGCAACGATTCGAATGCATTCGTAATGTGATTTGTGTAATTTGTCCATTTCAATGAAAATTGCTGAGTCGACGACATTTTGTTCGATAGTTATACTCACGATAACACAACCTTTTCACTTTTCACCTCGAATTTATTCCACTTTTTCAGGTAATTTTGTGGATTTTTTTCTTTTCTTTTGCCTCAGATTAAATAGATTACGAGCAATCTATTGACATACAAAATAACACAAACTTCATTAGTTTGCACGGAGTCAGTTTGGCGGCGCTTTACTTCACTCTGACTATGCTGTGGGTATTGAGCGCGAAACAAAACTCACATGAAGTTGGCTCTCGGTCATGCATCATTTTTTTTTGTACTACCAATCAATTTTTTTTCTTCCTAATTTGTTTTTTGAAGTTTTTTTGCATTTGGTTTTTTATTTTATTTGGAATTTAAAAAAAAAAACAGATTTATTGCAATTTATTGGTGAAAATCAAAAATGACTCGTATTTGGCATTAGAAAAGTCAACAAAAAAAATCTTTTTACCCGTCTTGACATTTAAATCTAAATGTTTACAAGTGAACGTATAGCGCTGTTGCTAGTGTGTGAAACAATTTGTTTCGAATTTTATTCGTTGTGTCATACATTCAAAAAAAGTAGATTGGAACACAAAAGATTTGCACAATTTATAAAATATTCAACAGTATTATTGAGCTGGCGTTAGAATTACTAGAGCAATAGAGTAATATAAATTGAAATTAAAGAGGAAAATGTGGAATAAGATCGGTGTTTTATCAGAAGACGAGGTGTTTAATGACACATTCTCGGTGAATACATTAGTTCGCATCGACAACAGTGATCCATTTTCGGTATGGTATTCTATTTAAAATGCACCATTTGGCATGCACTTTTTTAATGCCGATCGTGGATATTTTCCTCATTTTAGATTGTTCGTGACCCAAAGTTACGTGCCACCTTTCGTAATGAACATGTGGCCGTGGCCATCGATAAAATTTTACATTTGCTGCAAAAAGACTTGATTTATGGCCAGAGTGAACAGACAAAAGTAATTGCATTCCCAAGCGATATTGATTGCATTACCATATCACCGAACGGCACATTGATAATATGTGGTCTATTGGATGGAAACATCGTCGGATTGCGGTTAGATAGCATGGAAAGAGGACCTGTGTTTGACACGTAAATAATCCGTTCTTTTCGCAACCAACTGTCGCTGATTTTAAACAAGTCTTTGTCAAACTCCATTCATTTTTCTAGGGCGATCAATAATCAAAACATTGCCGATCCAACAATTGCCCAAAGTCGTACATTCGTTGATGTCATCGAGTGGAACTCGGACTACTATTTTTGCTGTACAAACGGCGTAATTTATAGGTATGAATTGTTGGACGTGGTAAGAGTAATGTAGATATTAATTTATGTTTGTTGAATAAAGGTTACATGGAATCGAAAATGCAATGGTAAAATTGGAACCGGGTTTGAACTTTAATGAAACGATTTCCAATAATATTATTCTGGATGTGGTCAATCCAAAACGAACGAATGTCTCCATATCCTCATATTCAATAACCTGCTACAATGGCGAACCCATGCACATTTACTGTGGCGAAGATCACATTTTCATGAAATCAAGCTACGTTGAGCAGCGCATTCGACTGGATGGCATCAAACAAGTTCAAAGCGATAACATTATGTTGTGAGTTTCGGTTTTAAAACTGTTCATTTATTTTGAATGCTAACCGATTACCCTTGTGAATGAATATAGATTTGCTTTAACCGAAAATGGTGGCTTGTATGAACTCTGTCCATACACTGGTTCCGTGGATCGCATCGATACACCGGAAAATGTCATTGATTTTATTATAACTGCAACAAATGATGACGGCATCGAAATACTTGCACTCACCGAAAATGCGGCCAAGTCACGATCTCTGAAGGTGTTTGACTATTCAAGTAAGTTATAAAGCATTGATTTCACTTAATGGCATGATTTGTGAATATTTATTTCGTTTCAGACATGAATTGTAAGTGTTCATTGCCAGTGTCAAATCAAATTTGGCTAATCGAACAACCAAAGTCATCGGCCAGTATATTTTACTTTGGTGGCAATCGATCATCTAGTTCGAATTTTGTGGAACACATTAATTTGCATATGGTATCCGAATCGCAACCCGAAAAACGTCTTCATACTCTACTGACCAAGGGAATGTTGGCTGAAGCTGAGGTGATTTTTTTCAATTTTTTAAACTACACGATGGATGTAGGAGTACATGGAAGCATCACTGACAACACTTTAATATTTCATTTAAGGATTTGGCGAAGAAGTTCAATCTGGACCCACAACCGATCTACGAAGCAAAGGCCAAACGAATTCTTCAAGATATGGGATCAATCAATCAAGTAAGCTTCGCTTTCTAGAACATCCATCAGATATGACCCAATACTTTTATTCACAGAATGTGGAGGCACTACAAAAACGTCTTAACCAATTGATTGATGTTGCCAAACAAATTAAAAACACTGAATTTCTGCTTCAACTGCGAAACCTCGAAATGCCTGATAGAAAGGTCATGAAAACTCTTCTCGATTTTTTGGCCGAGTACATTAAGTTTGATGTAAGTGTGAACAGAATTTGAATTGCTAAAGCGATAATTTGCTAAAGTTTAATAAAAACTCCATAGAATTATCCAAAAATTGGCGAGGAGATCAAAGAGCAATTGCTTCGGTTAAATACCCTACAGCTGATCGATCAAAATGAATGTATGATGCACTGGCAAAAGTTTGTACAACATCAAAATCTGGGAAATTATTGCATTAAATATATGGAAACGGTGGGGTCTTGTCTGTTCGAGTTTTATCAATCGATTTCAATTCAAATAAAAGCCAATTGTACTTATGTACTTTTCTGTTTCACAGAACATCTCCGCTGCATGTTTGATATTGAAGCAGCATGCATGCTGTATCATACCAATTTTGAAACATGATACAGCCGTTAAAATGTTGCGAGAGATTCCACAAGAGATAGAGCCATTCGGAATCATCCAATGGATGCGACACTATTTCCCATTGGTAGCTGAAGAATTGCCAGATACAATGCCGAAAATAGTTGATTGGGTCATCACAAAAACAACATCCTACGAGCGTTCAAACGATTGGCCAGCTATCGGTATTGAATTTGGCAAGAAAATGCTGGACATTTGCAAAGGCGTTAAATTCACTTTTGCGTAGGTGTTTTTCAATAATACTCTTCTATTGATCGCTTTTCAAATTTCCAATTCATTACTACTAAAGAAATATAAAATCAATCATTTTATAGGGATCAACGGCGCCATTACGATTTAAGTATCGAAAGACTGAGCAAAGTCATCGATGCAATGGAAGAGCTTCTGATTTTGAAGAATCAATATAATCTGCACGTAAATTTCGATGAATATTATGAAGTAAGTCATTTTTCCGAATAGATTAAAAATATATTTACGAAATGATGTGAAAATATTCCGTCTCTTGTACAGAATACAATTGAAGAATGTGCCTTTAATTTGTTGCAACGCATCAATATCAAAAATCTGCCCGATCTAGTGAATAAGTTTTTATTTGTGGTATATACTGAAAAAGGTATAAAACTGCAAAACACATTGACCAGGTATGACATCTCCAACAATTCGAATGTTTAATATTTTGCTAAACTTCGGTTTGTTTTTCTCTTACAGATACATTGAATATTTAATGAATCATCGTTCGGCGCTTCGAATGTGGTTGGCTCGATCGGTGGCTTGTTTGAAATTGATCACAAATCAAGAGATAAAATTGCAGTATGCATTGAAAATTGCAAAATTGTCATCGGTACCATGGCCACAAGAAATGCATCCGATCATTCAGTTTCGAACGTCATCACATCATTATGCAAAAGAGATTGATAACGAGTATAAAATGCAGCAAATCAAAATGTTACGAATGAAATATGGATGGCGGCCGGACTCAAGTGGCAATCAAATGAAATGTGTACTTCGTATGGTCACACAAAATCGTGAAGAATTGCTTGAAGATTTGGAAATTTTTAAAAAATTCTCCTCCGACGAATGTTCGGAAACAAATTTTTACTGTGTATACCATTTGGCGCGTGACGGTCACATTCACAAAGCACTCGAGTACCTTAAAACTCTTGACGAAGAAGAAGCGCGTACGTGTTATACAAAAATCGCAAAAATTACACCAAAAATGATATGCGATTACATGAACAAGCCAGAGTATTACGAAAACTTGATGGAACTATTGCGATTTGTGATGGATAAGGATATTGGCGATGAAAATAAAGAACTGATTAAAGACCTGATGAATTTACAATGGTTGAAAAAGAGTGCATTGAATATGACCGTTACTCTGGATGAATTGATGAACGAGGAAAAGGTCATGGGTTATTTGGACATCGGTATCGCTAGGCTGCTTACACTTTTACGGGAAAAGGAACGATTTTTGGCCAATGTCATTTGGCAGAATGTAAAAGTGTTATCGGCAGCTCTGAAAGTGAATAAGTTTGATGTCATTTTCAAATTGGCGCGAACCATTAATAACGTTAAATTTACAACATTATTGGCGAAAATCTTCCGCGATGATAATGCTGGTAGTAATGAATATTATGTCAATATGGCCGTAATGTTGATCGCTCAACAATATAAAGCTTCCGCTTCGGATACCGTTTGTCCGGATGTCGGCGAGTCGTATGCATATCCAATGGCACATTTTTATGCACAAAAAGTCAATGGGATGGACGTTGTTGATGTACAGCAATTGATTCACTTTGCTAAAATTGGACTGAATGCATTCGAGTTCACACAATTTCAGCAATTTCTCGATGGCAATGTCGATGAAGAAGATGAGGTAAGAAATTTTGATCCATCTTTTCGATAATTTGGTGTTTAATTTTCACAATCCACCAACAGACAATTCAAGATGCGCTTGAAAGTTTAAATAAATTGGAATCGACTTCAACGCATCGACGACGTGACTCGATGTCAATCTTTGATGAAGTGAACCACGTTAATCCAATTCCTGTGGTGAGTACGACCCGGCAGCCGTTTGTTTGAACAAAACAATTTAAATTAGAATGTTTTACAGATTGAACATAAGAGTGCTGCCGTTATCCAGACATTGTCAATGGTTCTGCAAGCTGTGGTGTGTGAATTACAACCAACAACACCATTTTATAACCATTTCAAGGATGTCATCAGTACAAATGAACCGTGCGTATAAGCATCCATTTTGAAAAGGCCTAAGAATTGATCATAATTTAACATTTAATTGCAGTTTTGAACGTAATAAGTTCATGGCGTCTCTGGACCAATTGAACAAAATGAAAATGCACACAACTGTATTTTCAATTATCCATTGCATTCGAACACAACAAATGTACACTACTAATAAAGTTTTGGCTGTCAGTTTAGAGGACATCTACATTCAAAAGATATTGAAGTCGGCACTTCATCAAAAAGAGCCACAATTTCATTGTAAGTTCTTTTGTCATTTGTATTGATTTTATATTTGTCAATGATTTTTATCTTCTCTTTTTAATAACCAAAGTGCTTGTTCCGATTCTTCGGTCACATTCTGATCCGGAGAGAGCATTGCGAATGCTCACTGATGAGTTAAGAAGTGGCCTTTCAAAGATGAACTGTTTGCAATTGACTGAAAATTATTGTGAATTAGCCGGCGATGCCACCGAAGCACGAGCGGCCAAAGAAGCACATTTGAAGTACAAGTACTATATGCAATTGCGACAACTTGATCCAAGTATTAAAGATGATTTCCAAATCTCATTCCCCGAGCTATTCACTACGTTGAATCAAAAAATGTTTGACATCCACTTGTTGGAGAGAATGAGCAGAGATTTTGAGTGGAATTTCCAAAAAGTACTCGTTACGCAGGTAATTATTATGCAAAATACTTTCCCCTTTCACACTATGTGTGTGCGGAAAAGTAATTAAGATGATCAAGTTGAAAAATGTTCAAAACCGTCCGAAACGGAATGATTATGTCGATAGATATGTTAAAGAGATTTATCTTTTCTAGATAAGCACCATTCTAAGTGTACAAGAGTTTGAATTCGAAACCCAAACGAATGAAGTGAACGAAGAAATAATCATTGTGCAAACATCACCCGAAAAATTGCGAGCATTGTGCGAACCGTATCTTACGCAAGTAACCGACATGAAATTACTGAGTCTTTACTTGTACGATGTCATCAATAACATTAATCCGTACTTCTATGAGCTTTTCCTTTGTGTGCTGAACATATTGTCGGAAATTCGTGAGCTTCGTGTTGAGGTGCAACAATGGAGTCACATTTTACTATTTTTAAAGCATAAAATGGTGAAAATGCGTGAACGACGTGTTGGACAATTCGAAACTGATTGGTGGATTCGAAGGCAAGGTGATTCAACAATCATGCCGAAAGTATCAAAATATCGTTTGCCATTTTTGATGGTGGTCACGGAATCGCTACAAGATTTTCTCGGTACGTATATGATGGGAGACGGGAACCAAACCAAAAACTTTATTTTTTTCCCTCTTCATGTCTAATAAAGGTGATGTCGTCACGATTGAAGATTGTGTTGAATGGTTTCCGTTGGTCAAATTCTATTCGCATATGCATGGAATGGTGAATCCGATTGAAATTGACCAGGAAAAAGATGCACTGTGCATGACAGTATTCAAAAAAGTGTTGAGCGAGCGTCAAACAAGCAGCAGAGAAAATAGTACATGGGGTCTACAGCCCGCTAATAACGCATTTTTGCAATCGGTGATGAATGTGGTGAGCCATATGAAAGACACTCATCGTATTTTATTGGTTTTGTATATGGTATTAAGCAATGCGCCGGAAGGGGCTGACCAATTGGAAGCCGCACACCAATGCTACATATTCGTGAAGAAAAATCAAACCACATTGAATGAAGTTCAACGATCTAAAGAGCTGGCGCTCAAGATTAAAAGCAAATATTCCATACTTAAAGTACAGCATCAATTGCATTTGTATGGTTTGTACGATGATGATTTGTCTGAATTGATAACAAATCCAGTGGAATTGATAAAAGCATTGTACAATCGAGCAAATATCAATAACGATTCGAAATGCGACATTAATAAAGTGGCTGAAGAATTTGCCAAATTATTCAAACTCAAATTCTATGACGTTCAATTGGGTCTAATCAAGCAATGGCTTGCGGTCGGTCCGAGTGATGAGGGCAATACACTTGAGCAAACTCTTTACGATGATGAATTGAATTCAACCATAACACCGAATAAAGATGACAACGAAAATGCAAATCTTTCCGTTGAAAAGTACGAATTTCATACTAGATTCTTATTTTGAAATCATTTCTAAATTGTTTTTGATTTAATTTTCAGAGCGTATTATATTTTAAAGTCATGGGATCCAGTAAAGTCCAGTCAATTCATAATAAATAACATATTTACCGGCCAAGGTGATAGGTAAGGAATCTGTCCAAATTCACAATTTATTCAATTCTAATTCCATTTTTTCCCCTCCCTCCCTTCAGCGTGAACACCAGTCGTCAGCTTCAGTTATTCGAATGTCTCATTAAATTGTCAAACGAAGACATGAATCCTTCGTTCTTGCAATTTGTCGAAGAATCGAAATACATTGCTCTCAAGTGTGTGCACCATTTAAAACCATTTGGCTATATGTTATCGATTGAAAAGTTTCAATCGTATGACAAAATTAAAATCTTAAAGCAAATTTGGTCATCGCATGCATCAAATCCAAAGGCATTGAGTGTAATCACGTACATTTGCTTGGGATATGACATTTATGAGCCAAAGATCTGGAACAATGTTTTAAAACAAATGGTTGTACTTCACATGGCCGATGAACTCATGACGATCATTAATAAAATTTCAATCAAACCAGAAATTGTGCACTCGGATGGTATTGTTATTGCCTACAACTATTTAATTCGATTACCATTCAAAAATATGGTGAAAGTACGTTCGGATGTACAAGATGAAGCACTTTCGAAGGCAATATTCATTCTTCAATCGTGCCCAGTTAAACACAAACTTAATTTTGTGGATTTGGTTGAAACGTGCATCGCTTTGAAGCAAACGCATTTTGGTGCCATTTTCTTGGCACTATCCAATGATGACCTTAAGCCACAAATTAAAAAGGTAAATATAAAAAGTCACTCTCCAATATAGACATGACATTAAAAGACTTGGTTTTTCACAGATGTTGATGCCAAACCGCCACGAGACACTGAAGGAGGAAATCAACAATTTGGAAGAGTACGATGTTTTTCCATTTGTCACCTTGCAAGCTGTTAAACTATTGGAATTATCGTAATAGAAAAAACTGCTCCAAACATATCCGTTTTGGCGAATTGATCAAAACTCAAGTGTGCTTGTGTTAGAAATTAAACGTTTATTAAGTTTAAGTTTAAGTATTCGAGTTGGCTCGACAACTGTAAATATTCATTTACTACAACTACAATAAGTTTGATATAATTTACATCAAATCATCAAAAATAAAAATTAAAATCAGAATTAATACAAATGATCGCGATTTAAATGATCGGATTAATCTCGTATCTCATACAAAAAAGGCACATGATCATACATTTTAGGCACAATATTTCAAATACATAATAATAATAATTGTTAAAACGAAAATCATACAAAATATGGATATTATCCATTGAAACATAAGAAAGAATAAAAAAAAACTAAATATTATTTAATTGACTGCGGTCTTGTTAATTGGTTTCGTGGTTAATATAACGGTTCCGGATGGAAAAAAAGAAACATATTTTCTGTTTCGAAATGGCCATAAACATTCACAATGACGACTAAAGCGAATTTGTGTTGGTATCATCTTCATTTTTGGCAGTATGTTTTCAGATTCATGAAGACGAAGAGCCACGTGATGGAAAATCTAGTTTGGCTTATGCGGGTTTCTTCATGGTGTTTTCATGCGATATTCTCAAACGACGCCGAAGTTCCGTTGGGAATTTTTCGTAGCATTTTTTACACACCGGTTTCTCGTCATATTCATAGAATTTCGATTTTTGATTCATTTTCGTGTCGCAAACCGAACATGAGAAGTGATGCACACACCAGGCCTTATTCAATGCGGTGAAAACTGCAAGAAATCATCCAAATTATATATATGATTTAATTTTATTATTGATGTTGTTTTACACTTACCGTCACCGGCAATGACTTGATTGCACACAAAACACAAATTTCCAAATAATTGATGGTAGTGAGTTTCGCAATAGGCCAGGCCACGTTTTTCATAATGACGATGTCCCAAAAATGGTTTCTCGCATTTGGCGCACACAAAATGTTCGACATGCCAATGTTTGCCGAGGGCGGTTACGACACGTTCTTCAATCGGTCGACGGCAAGCACCACAAATTGGAATGCCCATTTTGTCGTGACAACGCAAACAATACAATTCGTTCATATCATTAGCTGCAAAACCCGGACGACTTTTCACCTCACGCGCTGTCGAATCCAATTCAGCGTTGCACGATGTACAATTGAAGTGATAGCCATGATAGACTTCACCTCGGAACCGAAGCGGTTGACCATCGATAATACCGCTGCAATAAAACACATATTTTACACAGAAAGAAAATATCAGCCGACGCTATACGCAAAACCGACTGGTACGTGCGCTCATACGTTTTTACATCTTTTACATCTAGTGACCATACGATTTTTCGACTGTGCGAAGATACGCACAAAGAGTAACGAATCAGTCGAAAAATCGTATGGTCACTAGATGTAAAAGATGTAAAAACGTATGAGCGCACGTACCAGTCGGTTTTGCGTATAGCGTCGGCTGATATTTTCTTACTGTGTAATGACGATTTATTTCGTAGGAATTTTAAAATGTTTAACTTACTGGCATTTATGGCAAATATATTTTCCAAGCTCGCCTGCTTTCTCTCTGGCATTGCAATCGTGGCATAACGCGCGATTCTATATAAAAAAAACAAGTATGTTATGATTAGTTTGCACGTTTTTTCGATGTTTATTTTGGCATTTCTTTACTTGATTACGAATAAATCCGCAGTCGGCCAACTCTTTGTGGCATGATTCACAACAGAAGCACTGTGGATGCCAGCTTGCTGCCATTGCTTTTATAACACGTCCAATGACGAATTCACCACATTTGTTGCAGCATGGGGCAAAGAGAACATGAAAATCGCGTTCGCAATACTTTCGTCCCTCGAATTCGTAGAAAATTCCATCTTGGAAAGCACGGAAGCATTGAGCACAACTAATGGCAAAATATAGAAATCGAATCATAGAGTTAGCTTGAATTTTCTTTTCTCTTTTATTTTACAGTAACACTCACACAAAGCATTGCGTATGCCATAGTTCACCGTTTGAATTAACAATTTTTTCATGGACTTCGAATCCCTCTTCGCAACGTGAGCAAATCATGTTGCCCAGGGCGTTAGCTGCCATGACGGTACTGTTGAAAGAAAAAAAATTAATTTGATTCCCACATTTTCAGCAAAAAAAAAATCAAAAAGAAAACCAAAATTATCACGTTAGTTTATGTTAAATCAAAATTAAAACGAAAACTGTAAAACCAACTATTTAGTAGAGTGAAATTCCATATTTCCGCTTTTTTGTTTCTGATACACAAAACGAAATATTTCTCTTAACAAAATAATTATGTTTCGTTTTATGTCGACGAATCGACTGACGGTCAAATCAGTAAATTGTACTAATGGTTAGTGAAAAACCGAAAACCACTACATTCCTAAATTTTGATGACTAAAACATATTTTTGTTTTTTGTGTGACACATAATTCCAGATTGGCTAATATCAGTGTACGTATCAGTTAAAGAATGGCAAAGAAAAACTGTCAAAATAAATGAACTTCACCAGTCAAAAATAAAACTGAAACAAGTTCAGTGCGATAGCAAAGTGTATTTGAAAACGATCATCAAAACTATATTAACCGGAGAGCGGAAAGATTTGTTGTACAATGTTCATATTCGTTCCGTTCGAATGGCAAGTGTAATACATCAAAGTGATGTTTAAAGCGCACCTTTGTGACAACAACATGTTCATTTATTTTTGAAATGTCTCGTTAAAAATAGATCAACGTCGGCGATCCGTTTTACTTCTTCAACCGCACCGATAACCACATACATTCAAATCAATGTTTTATGCTGTGCTCGACTATGTAACAAGTTCCGTTTTGGCGTCGCAATGCGTACGCGATATGAAGCATGACATAGATTCTCATAACCGCGACTCGATGTATATGGCATATGCTTATGCCTATATAACTGTGGGCTTAACGTTTTATGTTTGTGACTTCGAGCGAATTTTCATTCGTTTCAGACCCAACCATACGATTTTTCCATTGAGAAAAGACCATCTGTTTGGGAAAGCCACAGAAGACGCTTTTTATTTTCGTCTGAGTTTTAATTCGGAACGAAGACAAAACACACATAAACTAAATCTCTAGGTGAATTTTCTTTTTGAAATCTTGCAAATGAAAAACAATTCCCGGATTTCTGTTCATAATTGTTGTTCTTGCTGTGAATACATATTTTTCTTTATTTACTGTGTTTTTGGTATATCATTTTTTTTTTTTTTTTTACAAAGTCTCATAAATAGTGTGAAGTTACTTTTAAAAAAAATGTTTAAACTGCGACGAGCAAAATCGGCGGGCAAATATCATTTTAACGTTAAACAGATGGCTAAATGTACGTTCGCATGTATTTAAATTCCATTCGTAATAGCAGCACACTCACGCACAAATTACACATTCACAAGATACGTTTCCACTATTTATCTGAAATTGCACGTTCAGCGCATTTATTCTATGGTTTCTGATCGTACAACATCCGCATTTTATGATCTTTGCATTTTTTGCCGTCGTCACTATTCACAATTTGCATTTTGTTAGGTTTTTTTTAGTCGGGTGATTAGAAAAAATGGCATAACACAAACATTTGGTAATGTGATATTTCAATACGTTAATAAACATCTTGCCTACGGCCCCAACGTTAATTTGTTGTTTTGAAAATTTACAAAGAAAAACGCACCCACACAATAATTACTCTTTTAAAAAATTAAATTGAAGTATTATTTACAAAAGCGAATAATTTTCTTAAAATCAAAAATCCGGAATTTTTGGGAAGAATTTCGAGTTATTTTTTTTATCAGATTGAACTTTGGAATGGGTAATTTTTCTTGTTATTATAAAATAGTAAAAGAGAGATTATTTTTTAGCTAAAGATCAATTTTACAAGATTATGTTCAGCCAAAGAAATGGGAATGATTGAAAGAAAATCCGTGTTTGGATGTGTGAGGAAATAACATCACATCTGCTTACCCAACTATCGGGGGCATGGCGATTTAACTTCTATATCTTTTTTCCACTGAAGAAAAAAAACGAAATTCATTAATATTTATCCAGAGATTTCGATTGGAAACATAATTTTGTTCAAATATGAAAACAATTGAGACACTATTTATACGCCCTAAGGTTCTTTTTTGCTCAAAATCGAATAAATTTAGAGCATCAGATGGACTTGGAAATATTAAGACATTTTTTTTTGTCCACACAGTTGTTGTTGTAGTTTCTTCAAAATCATCGATCATTCATAATATTCACCGTAAATTCGTATATTCACTGTTCAGCATTTTATTATTATTTATTTACCTTCTTTTTATTTTCTACGGTTTTTTTTATCGAAAAGAAAAACAAAAAATGCACCAAAAAATATACTAAACAAACACCATATTTACAAGATAAAAATGTGTGACTCTTCTTTTTCTATCTGTGAAAACTGAGAATTACTTCATAAGTCACACATACGTTCGTAAACATACATTCATCCCACACCCAATACAAATGGCACACCGTTTCATGCACACATGTGTGTCTCGTTATATATTGAAACGTCGGCTTTGTTTATAATATGCTCTTTGAATGTTAAGCTGCGTTTACATTCGAATGCGTTCCGTTTTTTATGCGGGCAAACGAAAAAGAAGAGTGAATCAATGAATAAAAGTGATTTTTTTTGTTTCGAATTTATTTTGTTTATCATTTGACATTGAATACAATACCTTTTTTTACGTTTAAAATGTATCGTTAAACTTGCATATTCTCAAAAAGAAGATCGATTTCTAAAATTCTATATTGAATATTTTGATGATGAAAGATGTCCTTGATATTTGTTTCACATTTTCTATTTCATAACGCCATTTATATCTCAGTCCTATTTTTTCATATTTTGGTCTAAGTTAGACATTTTAATTAAACACATTTAAATTGGTTTAAAATGGGAGACAATTCCAACGGATGATCATTTATAGTTTTTTGTGTACTAAGTTTTTGTTTCGTTTAGTTGTTGTTGTTGCGCGAAATCAGATAACTAATATATAATATCAACACGGTTATAGTTTATCGCGTCTCTGGCTTTAGTTTTGGCGGATTGAATGCATGTTGTTTCTTTTCTTTTTTTGATTTTTTCTTTTTACTTGCGCCCGATTGAAAATCTTGCCAGCTAGTTACGCGACTTTGTCGAGATTCTTCGAAATTTTTTTGCCATTCATTGTCTGCCTTTTGGCGCTCTTCTTCTTCGATTTCGGTTTCTCGTTTACGTTTTCTTTCTTCCATATCTCTTGTCTCCAGTTGTTGACGTCGACGTTCCATATCTGCGAAAAGCTACACACAAAAAAAAACCAAAATTTAAAAATAAAAATCTCAAAAAGGTCCTTTGATGGAAATAAAATCGCTAGACTTACCTTCATAACCATTACATAAACAGCATGTTTATACTTTTCTGGATTATCTTCGGGAATTGGTTCTTTGGATTTACCTTCTTTTTTCAGTTTCTTACGTTTTTCTGAGATCTAAAAAATTGCACAAAGTCAATAAAATCAAACACATTCTCACGAGAAAGAACCGAACAAAAACGTGATGTAAACTTACCATGTGATCTGTGCGGTCTTTGGCCTCTTCGTAAATGTCCAAGCATTTTTTGCGTGTGACATCATTTTCCAGTGTTTTCCATGCCTTGTTAACCGCTTCAAAAGCTAATTGAGCTCGTTCTTTATCGTCTTGATTTTTATCGGGATGCACCAAAAACGATAGGCTACGATATTTTTTCTTAATCTGATCAACTGTCAATTCTGGTTCGGCCTGTAGCACTTCAAATGGATTTAAATTAAAATAGGTTGAGCCCGCACGTAATAAACGGTTTATTTGCTGTTCGGAAGTAAGCACCGAATCGCGGGCTTCGATTTGCTTTACCTAAATGATACGATAACGAAGAGAGTTTTTTTTTTATTTTCTGAATTGCAAATGAAATGTCAGCACAGCTTATCTCACCTCGGAATAGTAGCTCTCGAAATTGTCTGACCCAGATGAACCTTCTCCCGACATTTTTGAACTTGTTTTGTGTCAAATGTTCAACTTTTTCGGTCAATGTTTTTTTTTTTTACAATTTCAGATATGTTTTGGAAGGACACAAACAACGCCGAAACAATAAAAATGAACACAACACTATAAATGCACAGTGACACAAGAAATCAATGACATTTCAACATATTCGCGCTAAACAGTTGTTACACCTTCATTCAATTTGGCTGCTGAACAACCACATACAATTTGACAGAGTGAATCAGCTGTCAAAAAAGAATCGTGTAAACATTGTGTGTTCCAATTGGTTTTCTTTATCAATAATTGTTGAAAATGATTAAATTTTATTGAAAAAATGTGTTCGCGATATGCAAACGCAATATGTTGTGTGTGCCAACGCTATTTGGATCAATCGAGTAATCGAATAATTGTGGAAATTTGCGGACATCAAAAGTGTCGAGAATGTTTTATCAAAGAAGAAGACGGGTGCTCACTTTGTGTACAAAATAAACAAAAATTCACAACGGAAAGCCAATCAAGTAGCCATAGAAATAGTTATGAAGTGATTCCATCGAGCAATGAAAGTGCAACCATTATCGGAGATGATGGTGGTGCCCATGAACCTCGTGTAGTGGAAGAAATAAACGAAGATGTGTCACATATTATTACTTTCAATGAGACTGAGGGTGAAGTGCGGTATAAATGCTTAATTTGCGAGAAAATATTTAAAAGTCGAAACAATCGTAAATATCATCTATTCTGCGATAAAACACGCTCGAAACCATTTCAATGCAATCGATGTGACAAGCAATTCATTACGCTGGCCCACATGAACTACCATCAAAACACACATGACACTGATAAAAACTTTACATGCACGCACTGCCAAAAGGTCTATTCAGGTCCAATGGCATTGAAAAAACACATGAAAAAACATCAAAGTTAGTTTTCCAAGCACATGTTTTTTTTCTTCTTCAATTCTTACTTGTGGATTTCATGTGGATTTCGATTTATTTTTTATGTTTTTTTTCCTCAGACGAATTAAAATACCATTGTTCGCAATGCGATGAAAAGTTCCTGTATAAAGAGCAGTTGAACATGCATCAAAATCGACACAATAACGTATTTCACACGTGTCCCGAGTGCGGAAAACGATTTTTAGTCAAATCAAATTTAACGAAGCACATTCAATGTCATTCAGGTGCATAGACAAATCGCTTGATTTGGAATATCAAAGTACTTACCATTTAAAGTTTATTTGATTTCAACTTACAGGTCAAAATCGAAAAATTTGTACAATATGCAAGAATTCATTTAGTGGGAATAGTGCCTTAAAAACTCATATGCTTACACATTCAAAATCGAAACCACATCAATGTGAAAAATGCTCTAAAAAATTCATCGACCAGCGAACACTCGAGCGCCATTTAAAAACGCATATGGGTATGTATTACCGATCAAGCATTGGAGTAATTTTCAAGCATTTTCTGTTTAAAGTCCATTTAATGACTGTGCAATCGATCAATCGAATAATAAAAGATGTCTAAATGTCATTCCATAAAATCATATGTAATATTTGTGGTTAATTCCATTCCAGATAATATATTCTACGAATGTACACTGTGTTCGGCAAAAAGTGGTCGAAAGGATAATATTCGGCGACACGTTCGGAATTTACATTCAGAGTCGGACGAAGAATTGCGTCAAATTTTGGAGAAGATTTTTGCTAATTTTGAACAAAGGAAAACCAAATCGTCCGCCATGTCTGTTGGAGTAAAAGAGAAGAAGACTGAACATTTGAAAATGGTTATGGATACTGAACTATCGGTGGATGTAACAGTGTGTGCACAAGAATTAAATGAAGTGAAAAAAACAATTGAAGAGCCATACAAAGGCCCAAGTGTTGTTCGAAATATTGCAACCTCCGTTATTAAATTTGCGGGCCGATCACAAAGTCTACGATGTGCGGAAAGCAACGAAAATATTGATGTGAAACAAGTGAATGTATCTGTTGTTGAGTCTGAACCGCAACAAGACGAACAACTAAATGCAGTGGCCATTGAACCAGATCCAATTGCAGAAATTGGCGTTAATCTGCCATCACTTGACTTGAATTTGCCATCAAACTACGATCCATTCCCTGAAGATATAGCCCCGTTACCATTAATCAATACCCATACGAATCTGACGGTATATCGCCAATTGCTGTCACCATATCTTAAGAAACAACCAGCAATCACAAACAACGTGAATTCAATCGCCAAAACGACTGACGAATCGAATGGATGTCCCAAGAAAACTTTTATGACTAGCTCAAGTACTACCATGGTCATTGATCGGCCACCAAAGAAAATGATTGAAAAATATGAGATTTATCGCAAATGAATTTAATTATAAATAAAATTCCATGTTTTTAAGGAAACAGAGAAATTTGAAGAAAAATGATTTACAATACAGAGACACATTGTTGCTTTTTATTTTTTAAGGTGACAACTATTTGCATTTACAATAGTAATGTTATATTGCGACTGTCATCCAATGTGAGCGTTTCGTTCTCCATGCACTCTCTATCTCTATCGGACATTCCATTGACTTCTTGTCTTTAGCTCGCACACAGATAAGTCATACTACACTATTCACCATATAGAACTCATCAATTTGCATTTGTATTGTCACTTCGTACTCGCCTTATAGTTCACTGAAACAATGTCGATCAAACATTTCGCATAAATAGACTTTGAATTCTTAGCCTTTCAAGGTAGTCTTCAATGTCTCAGTTTAATCGTCATAATAATAACTTCTTAATAATAACGATACCATTGTTCCTTAAATTCTTCCGAATTCTTCGGTTCTCCGTCCTTCTGTAGACATTTAAAATGACTATCCTTTTTTATATAAAAATATATTTGAAATTTTTTTTTTCAAAATATCCACATTAGTCAAGAGTTTATATTTTGATCACGCTTCATCAATTTAAACTTCGTCTCTTCAATTTGATTGTTTTACAAATATACTTAAAACTGCTGAATAATTAAATCGTCTGAAGTTTAGTTAGTTTTTACGTATGTCCAATCATTTAAATAAATAGTTTTTACCAATATTGAATCGACCATTGCCAGATAAATTGAAATTGAAATCAAAACTTAAATAAATAACAAAATCTATCAATTTTGAATGCGGACTTTCATTTAGTATTGAAATCTAAGCGCGAATTAAAAAAAAAGATTTTGGTCGCCTTGGAATCGATATCTATATAGTCTCCGTAGTATAAATACTAACATGCAAATGGAGTCGGACTCGAGTGTGTTGCGGTTGCGACCATCGATGCTTGAACAAGAGATTTCGAATTTACGTTTCATTTATGTCTTACTCTTTCTCTCTCACATACACTCTGTCTTACATTCCTTTGACTTATTGTCTGTCGTATGCAGATGAATGTGTCATACAGACTCGCATACAGACATAATTGCCACACTTTCTGCATAACGTGATCTCATTACATAGAACTCATCAATTTGCATTTGTATTGTCATTTCGTACTCGCTTTATAATTCACTGAAACAATGTCGATCGGAAATTTCGCATAAATAGACTTTGAATTCTTAGCCTTTCCAGGTAGTCTTTAGCTTCTCTTTAGAAACAATTCTCCTACTTATCACTTACAGTCCATGAAAGCGCCTGGCAAATCGATGTTCTGAGATACCGATATCGATTCCTGTCAATAATGTAGAAGCCAAAAATGACTACCTTTTTTATATCAAAATATATTTCGAATAATTTTTTTCAATTTAAAAAAATCCACATTAGTCAAGAGTTTATATTTTAATCACGCTTCATAGCATGAAAATGGAGTTAGATTCAAGTGTGCGACAGTTGCGACTATCGATGCGAGAGAAAAAAGATTAAAAAAAAACATTTGAATAGATTTTTCTCCGGTTAGTTTATTTCATCAAGTTGTATTGTTACATTTCATGTTAACGGTTCGTTTATGTATTACTCTTTCTCTCTCACACACACTCTGTCTTACATTCCTTTGACTTATTGTCTTTCGTATTCAGATAGATGTGTCATACAAACACCATTGCGACACTTTCTGAATAACGTGATCTTATTACATAGAACTCATCAATTTGCATTTGTATTGTCACTTCGTACTCACTTTATAATTCACTGAAACAATGTCGATCAAACATTTCGCATAAATAGACTTTGAATTCTTAGCCTTTCCAGGTAGTCTTTAGCTTCGCTTTTGAGTCTTATTGGCTAGTTATAGTGTTATATCCGTTCATGGAATCCGTCGTCGTGTATAATTCAATAACTGTGGCAAACCGATGGCTGTTCTTGTTTCGAGAATTTCGGTTCCTGTCAATATTGTGAAGCCAAAACTGACTACCTTTTTTGATATCAAAATATATTTTGAATAATTTTTTTCAATTTAAAAAATCCACATTAGCCAAGAGTTTATATGTTAATCACGCTTCATCGCTTCAAAATTCAACCATACTATTTGACTATCAAACGAATATAAATTATTGTATAATGAATTCATTCATGCTCTAGTGTATTTTTATAAATCTCTAATAATTTCAGTGAATGGATCTTTAGCCTTTTTTCACGAATAATCGACGAATTCTTGATGGATTGAATTCGACTATTCAATCAAAACTTTAAAATAAGAAAATTAACAATGTGTATCGAATACGATCTTAAATTTTAATTTCAAAGATATGTATGAATTAAAAAAAAAAGATTTTTTGTCGGCCGGGAATCGAATTCGGAACTCCTCCGTATTGCACATACGAGTATGCAAATTGAAATATAAATTAAATAGAAATAGTTGAGATAACAAATAGTGTCTTTGCTGAATGATTTGAAATACAAGTTTTTCCACGATATCCCGTAACTTTAGCAATTAGATATGATGATAGAATCCATCCCTCTGGATACCCTTCCAAGCGATGATATTATTCGTATACTCTTGTGTATAATATAATCGCTTGCAGAATAACATTCTTGTGGTAAATGATGAACTCTATTTTCCATTGTCCTTCTCTTACGACGAAGTTTTCTTTTACGCATCCTTTGGTGCTCATAACAAAACTTCGCAACCAATATTTTCCCAGAACCATTGAACTTTTCCAATTTATCTTTCGTACGGAACAAAAACTTTCATTTGCTTGAGTTTGTGGAAAATTGGTATAGTCTTTCATTTGTTGCATAAAGAATAACCGATAGAACTTAGAACTACCGACTAGTTGGAGCTACTGCTTAGGACAAACTAATACCTTAGCACAATTATGCTAATATATTCACTGGAACTTATCGAGTATAAAACAAAATGGTCGATTTGGTGCAGACGCTAAACTCAACGTGTATTGATTATTATTCAGTCCATTGTAATAGGTTCGCACCTCTGTAAACAAAATTCTTCATTTAAATCGATTAAAATTTCAACTACAACTGCATATGTAGTGAGATTGAATTTTGAAACTCTTAGCAGCAGAATATTAAAATAATACATACAATCACGATACAAAATGTGAAGGCAACTACTGTCGAAAATAGTGTAATTCCCATTTTATTTGATCGCATTGAGCAGATATTTGCATGACTTGATTAAGAATCAACTCGACTTCTGAAAGATTCCTAGATAAAACTTTCACTGCAGAAGCTATTAAAATTGCTCTGGAACTTTTTAAAATTAGTTTCATCGTGGTATTTGGACAATTATAAAGTGCCAGGTTATTCAATGTTACATGTATTTTCGATGATTCCTTTATCCGCCTTTATCGTTCTGGTTAACAGCCATATGATGCTCCGAAAAGTGCACCCTAAATATTTTGTTTGTATGTTTTAGAATTTTATAAATTTTAGAAATATAATAGTAATCGTTACCAAAAGTGTAAATAAAATAAAGTCGCTATCCAGGAGGAAAATGGTAAGGTCTTTAAATCAAAACGTTCGAATTGAATGGTCCTATATGGTTTCTTTTTAATCAAAATAATGAAACCTGTTCAATAGAGAGTATTCTCATTGGTATGAAAGGGGTATCAGGTTCTGTTATATATATAAGTGGTTTTTTCCAGTTTAAGAGTTTGCTATTAATTTTCTTTGTTAATTATGACAAAAATACATTATTTTTGTAACAATGCATATAGAAAAAAAGGTAGGAACAATTTCGTTTAGAAAAGAGATGACATTTCTACTTTGCCTGCAAATTCGATAGAAGAAATAAAACACTATTCACAATTTTCATTCCAAATACTTTTTGAAACATATATATATATTTTCAATAGTTTCTTCCTAATTTGGGCATTTTATTGGCTAAAATGTTGAATTTAAATAAATTAGTCATACATTTTGCATGCGCTTATTAATTCTGCTTAAAATGATACAAAAGCTTGAAATTTGCCTAAACTAAATTATAGTTTTTTCTTTGAAATTATTTACATATTTAAAATAGTTCTTTTTTTATTTAAATTAAACAATGTGCGCGATTCGTTTATGCTATATAAATCAAATTTCACAAGTAAATTATTTGAAGAAAGCTGCGAAAAAAATTAAAGCTTTCAATTTTTAACATTATTTAACAAATATCTTATATGCGAAAAAAGAATCATGGTATAAAATAAAATTGTGGCTATAATGGTTTGTGCCTTCAAAAATTGTCTACGCAACAAAAAAAAGTAGCATTAGTTTCGATTTAAGTAGTGATCACATTTGGAATATAATTTTTTTTTTGTTCAATGTTTATCTCATTTGAACACTATTGTGTAATAATTGTGAGATTTGTTCATGTAATTTGGAAGTGAATGGGGAGAGTGCATCTAAAATAGAATGTGCAAATAATTTGTCACATACAATTCAAATGGAATGATAATGCTTAAAAAAATGATTGTTTTATTCTATCTAATCATTATCCGGCTGTGTCGGAATTGTTATTGAGTGAACTGCTGCTACGTCCACCCAAACCACTTCCGCTGCTACTCAGACTGCTGTTTTTGCTGAAATCAATGTGTTTCGTTGATGTCGCATACAATCCGGACACACTGTTAGTCGTGTCATCTCTCTTCAGTGTATCGTATTTTATATCAGACTCATTGTACAATTGTTCATAAGGATTTTCACGGTCTTTTGCATTTAAATACCGTACGGATTCATAGTTTGAATCCGATTCACTGCCAGTCAATGATTCATAATTGCTAACGCTGACTGTTAATTGGCTTCGATCTGTGCTGCGAATGCTGTTGTAACAGATGGGCGTATTTGAGCTTGATTCACCCTCGCTCGATGGTGAGGTAAGGGTTTTTGTATCAGAAATGGTCGATGTCATCGAAACGGTCATAGATGGTGACATGATTACCGGCGATGGTGTTGAGGCCAGTAATTGTGCATTTCTATTGTTGTTGTTGCTGCTGTTTTGTCTCGATGGACTTGATTCCATGTCATTTGTTATACTCGAATAAACATTTTCATGTCGTTGATGTTCTTTGGTCATATCACGAATGCTAGCGTAGTCATGATTTTTCGACGATGTCTCTATCCTATCTTCCGATATTGTGCAATAGCCTAATTGTTCGTCTTCTTCACTGCTCAAGATTTTATTTTTCAATTTTATACTGCTGTATCCATCGTTATTATGCAATTTTTTGCTCGACACTTTGGCATAGTGATCGATTAAGTCTGGCGATTTGGTAGTTGGTCGAAGTGTTTCATAATTTGGATCATAATCGGATCCGTTTTTTTTCGCCAAATCCTTTCCATGCGATTCAACAGTCTCATAACCTGGATCATTCGTTGATTGATCCGGTAAACTTTCATAGCCGGGTTCCGAGCCTTCGGCACCGCCCCCACTGCCGCTGTTACTATAATTCGTTGTGAACATATTCTTTGTTTCGGGGAATGCATTCAGCGATTGATTATGAAGAAACACCCCTATAAAATGAGTTAAAAACAATTCAATTAATATTCCACCTCCCGATATCTTTCACATGTATAATATCAAACTAAACTACGACGAACAGCTAAAGCTACAAAAAAATTGGTGCATTACGTTAGATTTTGTCCAGATTGACTACATACGTAGTACATTTAGGATGGAAATTTTTTTTTGAGAAGGGGAACAGAAAGCGTTTGAGAGATTAGAATGACGAAAAAGAATACAAATTGGTTAGTTGTAATTGGAATATTGTTAAATTTCTGTGTAAAAATTGGTAAATCATATGGCTTTACCTGGCGGTGTTGTGATGTGGCTTGAATTTCGATTTGAATTTTGTTTGTTCGCACCGCCCGGCAAATCGGCCGGAATTGTTTCATATCCGGGATCATTTTTTGTATCATAATTTGAACTATTACTTCTTGTTCGTCGCTTGTCAATCGTTTCATATTCATTGTCTTCATTTAGCTGCGCTGATTTTATGCTACTTTTGCCGGGCGACGTGTGAATTGATTTGCTCAACGATTCCGGCACAGTGGTTTCTTGTGTTATGTCTGGATCAGATAGAAAAACGCTCTGGCGTTGCTGTTGCTGCTGCTGCTGTTGTTGCTGTTGCTGCTGCTGCTGTTGATGTTGATCATTCAAAACTTTTCTAAGAGGCACAGGTGATGTATTTTCGGACGGCGCTGCTGAAAATTTATTCTTTTTCATCACCTTTGCATACATCGCTTCTAAATCTTTCGATAGACGATTTTTACGTGGTTCATCATCGATACCATGAATAAGTGATCTCAAATGATTTCTTCCGTCCACCGAAGACGATAGATTTTCACGTGATATTTGCCGTTGACCACCACTTTGTCCAACTTCAATAACCGAAGCAACTGAACTTCGTCCCGATTGCAGCGACAACGATGGATTTGCCAGGCTGCTATTGCTCTGATAGTGATGCGAGTTACCTTTTGGTGTTGGTGGAAGTGGTGAATTTGCTTGTCGTTTTTCCGGTTTTGGCGAGCCCAAATTACCAACCGAACTTGTGCAACTCGATGATGAGGCTTGTCTTGAATGGGCTGCCGCCTTTAGCATCTCAACTGTACCTTCATTGATGCTATTGCGTGGTGTTGTGCTGTTGGTTGCCAGCGAATTCGAATTCGAATTCGTTTGACTCGCCGATGGGTGCGATGGCAAAGATGGTTGAGCCGGCGTTGATGGATTCGCATTTTGATGGGTCGGTACTGAATTGATTTCAACCGATACAACCATCTCTTGAGGTTGAATTTGTGCATACGTTTCGGAACCACTGGTGTACAATTCAACGGGATTATTTGGATCTTCAATTGCTGCATACATCGCTTCATCGGAATCATCCGAAACGGTTGCATAGTGCGAATCAGATATTTCACGTCGTCGAATTTGTGCATTTTGTTTCTTTGTTTGTGCAATGATATTTGCCAATGGCTCACGTACACTGATACTCGTGTAACCCTCTGAAAGTGTTACAAAAGATAGAGATTATCATTTCAAATAGGCCATAAGTCACGAAATACTTTATTTATACATACTTGACGAATCTTGTGAATCACCGCTGAAATATTGTTGCGGTTGCACGATTGGCGGCGTCATATACGGTAACTCTTGACTAGCTGACACTCTACCAGCGATTGCTGATGCTGCTGGAATCACCTGCTAATGGATAAAAAATTAATTCGATTAACTTGAAGATGAATTTGTTGTTTCAACCATGTGCTTACTTGATGCTGTCTTCCATCAACTGAATCCAATAAACTCTCCCGTGAGCTACGTCTTGATAATGGCTCATTATCGTTTGGATTGTTGTTTTCTGCATTCAAATTACTGGTTGGTGCATTCGAATTTGATGTGGATGGTCTGTTTACATTGTCGTTAACTGGTTTCACTTGAGCATATGGATGTTCAGCTGGTCGCACTTTATCGTATGGATGCGATGGAGATCGAACCCGGGCATATGGTGAGCTACAGTCATCCGCTTGGCTTATCGAACTGTGCTGTGATACACTTATTTGTTTCTTAACACTCGACGCAGCTGGAAACAAATCGAGAATTTTCATTAAAACCCCCATACATTAGTATCGAATGAAACTAAATTTAAAAAAAAATCTCTTACGACTTTGTCCTTGAGGCTTGTCACCGACTTTATCGCCAACCGTTGCATATAAATCGGAATTGGTGTCCAATTGATTTGGATCGGAGATTGGAATGTCAGGTAAACTTCGATGTGGTACATTTAGCGATCTATTTATGAAACGATCAAAAGAAAAAATGAATATCGTTGACATTTCGAAAGCGACGAAAAAAAGTTTAATTAATCTATAAAAAGAAACCTTTTGGAATCGGTGATATCATTGTTTGATATTTTTGTGTCTGAGTCACCAATTGAAATGATGTGGTTGCCATTTAGAAGGTTTTCATCGGGATTTTTTATTTTGACCATACCCTCCAAACCGAGAAGTTCATTGCTGCAATGGAACACAAAAGCAACGAGAGAGAAGAAAAAAAAAATGAATTTGCTGTTCAATGGAGTTAATGACTCATACTCTAAACAGTATGTGGCTTTCGTAATTTGTTTTTATTAATCAAAATGCTGCATCATGCTTGAACTGCTGTTAGCGCGAAAATCTCACGAGTAATTAAATTATATTATTAAATAAAAGCATGCATAAAAGTAGTGGTTTCAGTGACCAAGGTCATAATCGTTCGTTTAGTAACTGAAACGTCCATTTAGCACGAACGAAATATATGGCATTATTTCATGACGCCAAGATAGACATTAACATCGCGCATTCCGATCGATAAAGACGGCGGTCGATTGCTGTTTACTTTTTATTTCGTTTTCATTCGCCGTCGTCGCTGCTGCTGCTATGATGCCAGAAAAAAGGCGTGCTGCGACAATCTCGTGTATTTGTCGACCTCATGCAATATGAAATAGCGCCCGAGCCGACAATGAACTTGACGCTGAGCACTTTCTAAATCCGTTTTTTTCTTCTCTTATTACTATAAAACATATATATACACACACACACACTGAGAGTAAAAAATTCCTGCAAAATCAAGAGATAGTGATCATCATTTTGAATGTGTGACTTACTTTTGAACTTTTTTACGACAACACAAACATGCAGCAAACATTGTGATCGATGTAATGCTTAATATCGTTGAAACGAGTATCACCGAATAGTCACCATTTTCCATGTTATTGAACGATCAAAAGAAATGTTTCTTCGTTGTTGTTTTTTTTATTGAGTTGATGTTTTTTTATTATTATTGTATACTTCGTTGCGGTCGTGCAGAAAACACGCTCTATGGAATTTCTTGCGCATGAAAAAACAATGAGCATATACATACATGTATTTTACACAAAAAAATCAAACAATTATGAAAAAAACCACGAACACCGATCTTCTCATAACATTAAGTCGAAAAAATGATTGAAATAAAACAACAAGATATGAAAAAAATAACACTCAAACATAATGAATACGTTAGCATGCTCGTTTATCGACTGTGAAATTCTTTAAATTCTTCGCACATTTGTTGAAATTTTTTTTAAAACACATTTACGGAACTCTTAAGAATGGAAAGTTCACTGGTTTTTCTTCATCGTCTCGATCGTTATTTTAATAATAAATATAACCATAACTCAGTCACTGTCAGAAATGCGTTCAAGTGTTATTGATTTCAATGGAATGTATATGTGTACGCGCACGCTTTCAACGAAAAATCAAAACAAACTTAAAGTGCTTGTTGCTCAGTTACAAATGCAATTAACAAATTCGAAATTCGCTATGTTCACGGGGTGCTTATATAATTTAATTAAAAACAAGTAACTTTAATGATGATTATATGTTTGAGTGCAACGAATAGTGTGTTCGCGAATCGTTAACGGCCACAGTGACAGAGACACACACAATGCTATAGCACGTTCACAACACATCAAACAAATGCACAAAATATACCAAGTCCAATTAATTGATAAGTTGTTATTGGTATTTCTTTCTCTTCTTTCTTTGTCTTTGTCTTTCTCTTTTGTCTATTTATATGACTCTTTCTATTATTATTTTCTTTCGTTTCACGCGTTTCCCTTTCTATTCGATCCGGATCCGATGAATAAAATAACACACAAACAGCAACCAATGTTCGTTTCTTTTAAATAATGAAAGTATACGGAATTTCAGACGATTTTTGTTCGTTTATTCATTTTCGCCTAGCACAGCATCTCACAGATCCAAAATACTCTTTTTGCGAATTTACTTTGATTGTCTTTCGTTTTTTTAGCTTATTTTTTGTGATCGTGCACACTTATTACTGTTGTCGTTTATAACTATTGCTGCTGCTGCGGATGGAGCTGTTGTTGTTGTTGTTGTTGCTATTTAGAGAAATGCAAACGACGAACTGTTTCATTTTTTTCTACTATCTCCAATCACACACACACACAATTGAAATTATGTATATAGCAGTGAAAATAAACAAATACGTAAAAAACTCGTTTGTCTGTTTATATTAAATGAACAATGCACAAATACGCTTTATGTGCACTCGCCAAATGAATTTTGCGTGATCATTTTGTGCGATGACTTGAACTGAATAGAAACTGATGTAAAACACACGAATACACTAACACTTTCGGTCCCGTTTCTCTTGAATTTTTATTTTATTCTCTCTTGTTTTCGTGTGTTATACAAATGCTGCTAGTTTTTTTTTCTTCTTCTCCGCAATTTTGTTTTTCTTTCGTTGGACAATTTATGAGCAATTGAAAATTATTCCGCTTCGTTGGTAGAAAAGAATGGACTCATGTATTTGAAATTTTTGTCATATTATTATTTACAAAATAGCATTTTCCAATCAGTCGATCGATTTCAATATCAAAAACACCATTATAGCACACGAAATTTTTGTCACTTTCACTCCGCTTCATATAAGCGGAACCAAACCGAAACGAATAATGTCTTAATGCATGAAATTTCATCCGAATATCCGATCCAAATTTTCGAAATGCCAATCAGTGAACAAAAAAATTTCAAGCAAAAAATGCGTTTCGATTGTTTTCACAATTGTCAATGGAATGGTTTTTTTACCAATTCACATTCTGTATGACGTGTACTCCAAAAACATTGAAAAAAACTCTTTTCTTTCATTCACATTTGTTCCAATTTTGACACACAAAATTAACATGATTTAATATCATATCTTTTGTTTGTTTTTATGATAATTTGAATGAATCACATATTGCTTTAACTATATGTATTGATTCAACATCATTCGTAGTTTGGTGCATTACACTCACATTTTATTTCGGGGTTATAGAATAAATTGTCAAAATCTAAGTGAAAAAAACCACGAGTAAAATCAATGTAACACAAGAAATTCGGCAAAATTGTTTGTTTGTTCGAAAATGTATTTGTTAGCAGCCAATCGCACGTTTATTTTTTTATTATTATTATAGTTTGGTCTACGTAAATTCAGGAAAAATCGCGTTAGACAAATTTTGACACACCTTTTGTGTACTATGTGTGTGCTTCGAATGTTGCTTGCACAAAATTTACGTTTTCTCGAACTCATGACACCTTACAGCGCGGCTATGTTATTATTGTTGGATAGTAACGTTGGTATGTGTGCGTAAACTGAATGCATGTTTGACGTCGACATTTGCGCTCAAAAGCAGTGTTGGCAGCACTGACGTTCATTCTCTTTTCTCCGTATGTTTACAAAATTTGAATGACATCAGTTGTTATTCAGGTTTTATTCAACACGAAACCACCAGTGGCAACAGTTACATTTTTGGGTTTTTGCCAAAATCAAATGTTGTTGTTTATATTCACCGAATGAATATCCCGTATCATAATTACAAACCATTTAAAGTGGCCTTGGCAAGTGGCACTATTATATTTCAAATCACGTATGAATTTCAGTTCAGTGGCGTTTTTGTCGTTGCTCTTTTATTCGTCGACTCCAATTTACCTGTGAATTTTCAAGAAAAGAAAAATGATCTACAGGAAATGAGTAATATAATTCAAATATTCGTTTTCTCCTTATTCTTTTCCTGTTTATTCCGAATCAATTAATTTCCACATTTTTTTCAATTTTTTTAAGTCGTCTAACTAACTACAACGTATGAATGAACTATTTCTAACCATTAGGACCTAAAAAACTCTTGCGCTTGGCGCAAATTAACTTAATTTATACATCTTAAAAAGTCTTAAATTTCGGCGTCAGTGGAATCTGAATCCCAGTACAAATCGTACGGCGAATATTCCTCGTAATCGTATTCATCGTCGTAAAAATCGAATGTAAACGGTCGATATCCGCAGTCAATGTCGTAGTCAATATGAATGGCAGGTCGTTCTTCATCCTCGAGCACCATATTAGCGATGTCAATGGTCGCCGATCGTGGAATCGTACAATTTCGAATCGATAAATAAGCTAATTGCCGTTGTAATTGAACGAATTTCATGAGACCATTTACGGTGAATCCCCAACAGTCTTGTAGGCTGAACTTAGTCAAGTTCAAATTGCGACCGAGACGAAAAAGTAAATCATCGGTTACAAAATTACATTTAACAAACGATAATTCATTTAAATTCGTACTCTTTTCTAATTTATCAGCGGCACTGCCGTCCAATTGATACATTTTAAAATTTTCGCCATTGATTTCCCATCGTTCGAGTTTATTGTTGGTGGCAAGTAATTTGATAAAGCGATTCACGTCATACGTTTTAAAATTGTGCAGTGATAATGATTTCAAATGTTGTAAGCAATGCAATGTGCTCGGATCAAATGACGCTGTATAGCTAAACATAAGCGAAACTAATTCAATATTTGGTAGATTTGCAACAATCTCATTGAGAATGATTTCATCGATGTCACGACATTTGTGCACAATGATTTCCTTAAGCGTTCGTCCCTTTGCATGGAAATAGTCGTAAAGGTGATTTGGACGTAATTGTGCGCATGAGTTCAAGTGCAACACAGCCAATCGATTCAATCCAATCAACGTTTGACCGGTAAAATTGCCAATTGAATTCATTTTCAGCACCTCGATATTTTCAAATGCAGCCACTAAATCAAAGTCTTTGTCCATTTTTATGTTGTGCAATTCAAGATATCGTAAATGCACAAAGTGTAATTTATTTACGATTGATGCACTGAGCGCCATTGCACCATACCAATTTCGCGTTTCAATCGTTAACGATGCCAATTGGGTGCAGTATTTATTTATTGACTGAATTTGACGCCGTAATTTATCAACACGCTTATAACTGTGCACAGAGACCAAGTGCAATGCTTTTAAATGTTGACCCAAGTGTTTAATTATTTCCTTTGATTTATGGTCAAGCGTCGCATCGATGTGGAATTGCTTTACTTTTCGTGACAAATGATTGTCGGCATTTGACTCGAATCGCGAGCACACTTGGCGATAGGATATTATGTCCATTACATTGAGATATTTCAGAATTTCCAATAGCACATCGTCGTTGAGTATATCATCGGCTGCTGCAGTGTCCAACGTTGTGGGCATGTCTATCGCTATGTTCATTGGCTTGATGATTGCTTCCATTTTATTTGCAATTTGAATTAAATTTTTTGTTGGATCTCAATGGCAAGCGAGAATATGTTCCGTTTTAAAGATTATTTTCAAATGGCCGACTCTCAGTATGATTTGTAATGAACTAACTTTATCTTTTACAGCGACAATAAATTTAAACTTCACTTTGTATACTTTTACAAATTAGTGCAAAACTTCCAATCGAGAATTCACTTTATATGTCTTTTTTTCTGCTTGGTATAAACTTTATTTTATGTATTTTTTCTTATGCCACAGCAGTTTATTGAAAACTCTCTGTGCATTTCGCGTGTGCAATGAATAAAATTTAAATCGCTCTCTCTTGCTATTGAGTTCTGTCGGTTGCAATATACGAATTGTTTTTGCGACGACACTTCGAGCTCGGACCATTTATGCGAATGAACGATTCAAAGGCTTCGAACTCAATGATCACAATTTATACGCAGTAGTTTGTCGCCAATCACAACTGACATATCCGTCATCACAACAACATCGATCTGTGTGTATATAAAAAATTACCAATGTTGCGCGCAATTTTTTTCTTTCTTTCTTTCTTCATCTCTTTCCGCCTTTTTCATTTCTAACCAAAACAACCTGATAAATTGAAACATTTATAAATATAATCATCATCATTGTATGGTTTATTGGCATTTAAAATACAACTCATGTGTTATCATCTGTTCGACGGTGTCGTAGCATTGGTTGAGACACAGTCATACACACACACATGTATTTGCACATGTGCGCGTAAAATTAGCTGAGACAAGCAAAAGGACAAATAATTAATACACAGTATCGTGTACGAAGTGAAAAAATAAACAAAACGCAAGCAAAAAATGTTACACATACACACAGTTTCATTAATGCAGAAAGAGAGTTATATAGGCAGCCTAACGAATTTATCACCTACTGTTCGCATGTCTACAGAATTTTCGCCTGTCCAAATTCGGAATAATAAACATCCGATATGGCAAAAAAAATGTTCATCTGTTTGGTGCTCTATGTGTGTTCAACACCACTGACAGTCAGATGATGTGAAACAACAGCGACATGTGAGTTTGTCTGCTTGTGACTAATGCTCCCCTCTTGCTCGTCTCTTATCACCCCTAAAATGTGTCTTTGTCCCATTTGTGGTCTTTTTTGCTTGAGAATGACCCACGACCTCTGAGTATCACAGTTTTTTTTGAAGCGATTTTCATTTTATTGTCGTAGCATTAATATCGCCTGTTCGGCAATGATAACAAACCACACAGACACACCACACTACGTAGACACTTATGCTGATAACAACATTTAATGTATTATGTGTACGACTTTTTCGCAATTGCAAAAGACAAAGTACGTTCTCTTTGAAATGCAAATTCGCAATAAACGGCGTTTTTTTGTTTTGAAGTGAATAACAAATTGCGGACTTTGTGCGCAGACTATTGTAAAAACATGTGTGTGTTTTTTTTTGAAGCCGGGAAATCTTAAACAAATTCATCACAGAAATCCGATTTTTCGAACTATTTATAAACATTTTTTATTGACATACTGTGTGCGGCAATACGATGCAGCAAAGAGAGTTTATTCACATGCCTTTTTTAATTGCTTTGATCTTTTTGTATATCAACTACAATTACTTTTGCTGATGTTGTTGTTGCTGTGGCTGAACAGCTGTTATCAGTGTTCATTCGTACACGTTTATTTTGATATGAACACGTAAAAAGGCATCAAAATGTGAATCGTCCATTATCTCATTAACTTTGGCGCTATAATTTCAAATTGACAATTTATGATTAGCTAGAAAACTGTTAGGATTATGATGCGGAAATAAAAAAAATTACATTTTCTTTATCATTTCACTCTCTATTAATTGAGAGCCTGAAACCCAAAACAAGTTATAAAAATTCTTTTCGGAAAAAAAGCATAAGAATGTATTTTAAATGAAAAAGGCGATAGAAAAAAACTGAGAGTTAAAAGAGCATATACAGAACTGAGAATTAAAACAGAATATAAATTCAGTTAGCGACAAAACAAACAAGCGATATGTTATATTTTGACTCTCAGTTTTTATTCGTCTCATGTTTTTGACGAAAGCAAATATAATATTTATTGACTCCAAATAAAAAGATATACATTTTCAGTGCTAAAATGAGGCAAATAAAAACTGAGAGTTAAAATACAATATACAGAATTGAGAGTAAAAACAGCAAATCGATGTATGCTACTTTTGCTCTCAGTATTTTATGTGTTGTTTTAACTCTCAGTTCTCTATATTCTCGTTTTGTGCTCAATAATTTCTTATGCTCTTTTTCCGAAAAGAATTTTTATAATTTGTTTTGCGTTTCAGGCTCTCAATTAACATTACTCGCGGCACGCTTACTGTGTCGTAATCTTATCTTAAATTTCTGAAAGTTCTCATTTCTAGAAATCTCTTGTGTACGCGTAAGCACGATACAGTAACACGCGCAAAGCAAATGAATTTCGATGGCTATGTATTCATTTTTAGTTTCTGACCATTTTATGTTTTTCCTTGTCATTTTGTTTTAATCACAATTGTTAAGAAAGACATTTATAGAAAATTCGAAAAATTAATTAAGTTAATTACATAATTTTCGGCAAAATTATTTTTTTGAAACAAAAATTCGAATAAAATTTGTAGACAAATTAAAACATTGATAATTGATTTGACAAATTTAATTACAAACCTATTTTTAACCGGGAGCTGACCAAATCAAATCAAAATGAATGATTAGTTATAACGATGATTTAACGAACTGACCATCTCAGCTGTTGATAAAAATTCATTCATGAAATTACCTAAATGGAATGGAAAAATGCTAGAAAACAAAACTTATGCGGTTTCTTTGAGTTTTTTTTATTCGTCCATTGAGAGAAGCTAGCGGTATAAACATGTCATGCGGCCATCAATTACGAATCAAATTTGCAAAGAAAATTCTGCGAATTTACGTTCAATTTTCCTATTTTTAAAATTCTACATAGCTTTGCAATTTGTGATTTAATTTGACCTTTCTAAATTTAAATGATAATCATTTTTCCTTTTTGCGTAGTACATCATCTAAATTATCAACTATGGATTGTTTTGTTTTGTTTGCAAATTACTCATGCTAGTATATAATTTGTATTGATTTTGTTTTCACTTTAAATTATTATTATCATGTAAATATTTCGACTCAATTCATATATGTGTGAGCGAGACTGTCTTCAAATATGTACTTTTCTTTCAAATGAAATGCTGTTTGGAATTCAATAAGTGTCATTTGAATAAAATGTGACTTAGGTGAATGATTTAGTGCAAATTGTTGCTGATTTTTGGTTTTGCATCTGATTATGTCATATCTAAGATGTGTTATGAAGTGATAAAAGTGATTGAATGAATTGAACACTTTAAAATGATATTTCATCTTCATCTCTATACCTGAAAATACTCAGTGTTGCTATATTCGATAAATAAACATTTCTCACGCGCATTATTTAAAACTACTTGCGATATGCAAATAAAAACTCACTTCCATTCTCTCTTCGCCCACATTCAACGCTTAAAAGTGTTTCGACATCAATGTCTTTTCAATATGTCAATATTTGATGATTAATTTGAATATATTTTAATAGATTTGCTTCTGATGCAACATCACAATCGAAAATGAGCCATTTAAAATTTAATTCAATAAATATATGTATATTACTTAAGTAAGAACCAGAATTTTCCTATTATTTGGTTGAAGTGTGTCTTGAAACAAGAAAAGAAAACGTATTAACTGAAGAATATGCCATCATCATCATCATCGAAAAATTCATTTCGCAATTATACCTTCCAAATTGATCTATAAAAGATTTTGTTGCAATTTTCACAACACCAAAATTAAAAACTACATCAAATGTTCGTCGATTTGATCATTCATTTTTCGTGGTTCCATTTTTTTTCTTCAAAAATAATTGTGTTCATTCTCACTCACAAATTAGACTTTGGAAGTTTGACACATCAATAAAGATATGATTTTTAGTTGTGCTTTTTTTGATTCATGTTTTCTTTTTTGTTCAATCTTTGTAGTAAATAACTGATTCGATAGAAATTGTACACGATTAACAACTCATTTTTTTGTATTTTCATTATGAAACATCAGGATTCGGATTAAATACGAAAAAATGGCTTTAATATTATAATATGTTTTCATGATAAATTGGCAAATATCATTTGTTTTATAAAATCTTCTAATTTAGAATTAATAGTGTGGTATAAGTATCTAATCCAGTTTTTTTGATCCAATTTAACAGTATTAGTGGATATGAATGGTTTTCAATCGCACATATGCACTATCTATCTCTCGCTTTTTGTATTGGGCTGTGGAGACCACAGGAAAACGAATATTCTTTTCATTTTAAAGTTTGATATATAAATGTTCATTTAGTTTAACTTACGGGCTAAACAAATAACGCGCATCATAAAATGCATTTTAATTGATTGGTTTTTCTGCCTTTTATATTCAAAATGGGCATTTGGAGTAATATACTTTAATATATGTGTCTGTGTGTGTTAGTTAGTGGGTGATTTGTGCCTCCTAATTTTAACAATAATTTTGAAGTTTTTTTCCACATATTTTTTAATTTAAAATTCTGGTGAAAATGTTTCTATATGATCTAATTTCTAAGTTTGGAGAGTAAACTTCGATTTACAATTTGTATCACATCATGGCTGATTGTGCATTTTAGAAAATTTACATTTGGTTTCTCAAAATTTGATTTTTTTCACTACAAATTAATACGATTTAAAAAAAATTCTCGGCATTTTCCCAAAATTGAATTGGCTAGAATAATCGTGACCTTAAGAAGAAAATACATTTTTTTTGTATGAACATGTAGCTTTTTTATTTTTTGAGATCATGACTATTCTAAGCGATTCAATTGGAGAACGCAATATTTATCGCTAACAAAATCTTTGCAATGTGAAACTTATTCGAGCTTTCTATGCCGGATTTCAAACTTGAGAACGAAAAACAAACACATACCGAAAAGGAATAACGCAAAAAGAGCTGAAATAAAAAATAAATAAAAAAATGGTAACAGAAGTCTTTGGTCCTTCCGTTTAAGTTGACAACAAACCGATTGATATCCACCCACAAGAGACAAGAAGGATAAAAAATAAGCATAAATAGAAATAAGCAAAAAGATAACCAAACCAACAGGAAAATAACTTACAACACAAATATATATTTTCTCGGAATCGTTGACAAATACCAGCATATTGTTCACGAAGAACCACTCGAAATCGAAGCGAAAGGAAGAAAAGAAAATGCATCATATGATGATTGGATATATGGAACCAACAGTAAGGAGGTAATCGAAATGGTTTCAATAGAGATCCCTTGTTTCAAATTTTATCAGGTTTCTCTTATATAAATGACAAGGTCACTTGATAGAGATGAATTACACTTATATAGATTTGTTTTTATATTAACTGCATCTGTTTGTTATGTTTTTTCACATGTCAATAATAATAATGAAATGTCATTTGATTTCACTTGAATTTATTGAAATGTTTTCATTTGTTTAGATACCACAATATGCTTCTTCAGTGTTTCAGTTATTTACAATTTTTCATATGATTTTTTTTTTGTTTTTTGTTCATTTTAATGTTCGTTTTTTTTATTCTCATTTTAAGTTACAGTTACAATAATATCTGAAGTAGTATAATTTCAACATGTTTATTTTTAATTTCAATATGTTTTTCTAGGTTCTTGTTGTTGTGAATATTTTGCATTATTTATTTTCTCTTTTAATTTGGGAATTGAAAAAAGGGACAGTTTCTTATAATATTTTATTTAGAAATAACAACTCTCTCTATTTGTTTTGTTTACCATGAAAAATATGAATATGTATGTGTGTAATTCAATATAATAATTGGATAATTGTTTTGTATTGAGTTAAATTTGTTCTATATATCTCTGTCTCAGTTCAAGTATGTTTCTTTATCGCAACGAGAACATAAAAAACAATTGGATGGACACAAATGAAAATGCTATTTTTACATTAATATAATATTTTAATTCAGCATCATCATAATATTGTGTTTGTGTGTGTTTGTACTGAAGCAAACAAATTTACAAAAAAACATTTCTGATGAATACAAGAGAACGACCAAAAATGAAAGCGAAATACATAATATAGAAAAGAAAATAGAGTCAAAAATATACAAATCAAAATATATATGGCATTAATTAATATAAATTAACGGAAAAAAAGTCTACTAATACTAGTTTAATTTTCGACATAAAAAAATCATATATTTATATATATAGATTAAGAAAAATTGTTTCGACGATTGCTTAACTCGTGTATTGTGTGAATTCGCGATAGAAGACTACAAACAAAAACGCCAACTGTGTCTGGTCCAACTTCTTCACTTTTGTTAATATTTAATTAGTATTTGTTGCACTATCCAATGACGAACGTAAAACGACACATCCTTCGACCCAAAAGTTCGGTCGATTGATCATGCTTTGCCAAAGCGACAATTCCTTTCCAGTTGAATCCATCCAATCAACGGATTTACCGTAATATTTCCCTAAATCATCGAGAGGGAGAGAGAGAGAGAGAGAGAGAGAAAATAAAAAAAAAATCAAAATTAAATCATTTCAACTTGAAGAGCACATCAGGTGAATGAGATTTTGTGATATAATTTTGCGTTGCTTCGATGCAAATCAAGTTTGTGTTACATGGCATCACATCCTAGCTAGGGGGTTCCGACTTATACGAATGTTCCATATGCGAGCGAATGTTTCATACAAATTTTGCGAATGGTGGCGGATGTTTCATACGAATTTGCGGACGGTGTCGAATGTTTCATACACATTTTGCGGATGGCGCATATGAAAAGTCATATTTTTACATTCAAAAAGTCAAAGTGACAGATTAGTTGACAGAGATTCAAGCCGAATTGATATTTTTTTGGTAATATTGAGTGAAATTTTTCTAAAATGGTAAATAAATCTTTGTCACTCGTAATATAATCACTGTAAGGCACCGTTGTGAAAGGTTTTTATTTTGATTGACGAAACTTTCAATTTCTTTTATATTATCTGAATTTATTTCTAAAATCTCACTTTTCGAATCGAATACGGCTTCTAAAATAATATTCAACAAAAAATCTTGTAATTTTTTTTTCGACTGTTTTTCAAATTTAGTTGAGAACAATCACATTGTGTTTGAAACTGCTACGACAAACTGAACACAGCAATGTGTATGTACAAATGTCACACGACAGTTTGTCGCATCTAGCAAGACGTATGCGGCATCCGCGAATGGTTGCGAATGAAATGTACGAATTTTCTAAGATGTTGATGCGGATGAATATACTTTACTTCGTATATTTCATGTATGAATAGAAAAATGTTCATATATTCCGTATAAAATGGCATTCGCATATAGTAAAATGCCCCTTGCATCCTAGTGACATGACACAACGCACATCGGAAAATGGTCTGGGTTGTGCTTTAAGTCACGTACAAAACACATGTCGAATCATCGTCAATCTCTGAACAATTTGCAAATCGCAACGCAAAATCTACATATATTCATGAATTCATCCAAGGTGCGGTAGGGTCAATGTGCATTGCATTTAGTAACACACACAAAAAAAGAGAACGAGGAGATATTGTAACGTATGTAGGAGAGCATCAAACTTACCAGTGCCAAGGGAAAATCTCACTCCGCCCAAAAACTCATTAGATGCCAATCGATCATGATCCCATATGGTTAATTCCAGTGCACGTTCAGACAATTCATTAAGCGATACATCATCATAGGCAAATGTATAATTCCATACTGGATTCACTGAGCGTTTCGCCACTGGCGTTTTTTGTTTCGAATTGCGATTTTTATCGGGGAGCAAATAACTGTTAGATCAGATGACCCGTACAAGAAAACGACGAACAAAGCGAAATGACGAACATGAGAGAGAGAGAGAGGGAGAGAGAAAGAGAAGGCGATTTTATTATATGAATAGAGTCTGTTCTAAATTATCATGATGCACACGAATTCGTGTCATCCTGTGTGTGTGTGTGTGCATTGCAATCCTCTGTGGATTATTGCAAGTGGATGGTAACAGATTAAAAACGTATGTATATATTTTAAACGGATAAAATTACCTTTTACAAAATGCATCACACATTCCATTGGCTTTGACCGGGCTCAAATTTTTCGCTTCTTTGACAAGCACGTGCAAAGAGCCTTTCGATGATGATGACGATGACGATGAACTACGTGAATTATTGGATGATTTGATGCTTCCGAATTTACGTAATCCACTGCTGATTGATGATCTCGAGAAGTGCGACGATTTCGAATCGGGTGGAACGAATTTCAGACCTACAATAATGTCACCACGATATGTTGAAAGGTCGTCAAATGGTTCACTCTACGAAAACCGAAAAGTATACCAAAAAAGGACACACAAAAAAAAGAAGACAAACAACATCACATAAAGGGTAAACAGACATGATTTTCACTACTTGCTACATGCTACTATTTTGTCGAACACAGAAGGTCGTGCAAAGGTACATGTAATATTTGATTTTTCGATGCAAGTCATGGATATTGAAATAATGGATACTTACTCGTTCCTGTAAGGTGTACCATTGCGGTTGTGGATTATCGAATACAATGCCTTGCAAATTGATGGTCACTTCACCGAGAAAATCATTGCGTCCAAACACTGTGAAACAATACAATCAAATGCGATTTTAAGTTACAAATATATACATATATAGAGTGGACAACATCAAACATCAACCGTCTTTAACTTACTGTCGGAATGCCAAACGGTTAACCACAATGTTCTTGTTTCCAAGCTATTCAATGACATAAAATACTTGAGCGTTTCATCAAATACCGGATTTAGTGTATGCTTTCTGACTTTTGTTTTGCGTTTGCCATTCTTTGACTTATCCGGTAACAAATACACCTGAAAATGAATCAAATCGGAAAACGACGATGAAATTAAATGAGTATTGACTTTACGGAAAATGGACTCTATTTAAAGTAAGCTGGTACACACAATTACATTTGAATGGGGCTATTTAATGCATTTGACATTTTTAATTTAAGAAAAACCGAATCGCGGTCACCACTCACCTTAACATACGGATCGCTTCGATTGCGTTTCGTATCAACAGCTGCCAAATCTTTGCACTGCATGACGTGAATCTCGAGAGCTCCTTGTTTGTAATTGTATTGCATGCCAAATTCAACTTGTCCTTTAACAATCACGGTATTATATCGTCCTTCGCCAGCACCCGAATACACACTTGCCATCGAATCAGAACGCAGCTACGGATTGGAATAAGAGTAAAAGTTAAGATTAGTGGTTTTTTTATCAATCGGAAAAAGGACAATCGACAACTTACTCCTAATGAACTGAGGCTACTGCGGTTTTGATGCATGGCAACCAGACGATCAATATCCTCATCGGATTGAGCGGGCCAATCAGCCGAAGTTGGTGACAACTTAGTTCCGGCCGGGCTTGAAGGTTGAATTGGCGACGATTTCGAATCATTTCGGCTACCAATTATCGGTGACTTTCCAGCTTCGGGTGAACTAACGCCTTCTGTAAATTGAAAATAATACATTTTTATTAAGAACAAGGTTTTTGTTTTTCATTTAATTTGAATAAATTTCACTTGAAGAAATTCAATTTGGGGTAAGTGCTTAAAGTGTTAATTCAAACTTTGGTCGATAGTAAAATGTTGTTACAACAAATTGAGCAATCGAAAGCAAGCATAAAATGCAAGAACATTGTAATCAAAATGGTAAGTTTATAGACTGTTTCTGTCAACTGAACTGAAAATTCAATTTGCAAACAGAGCACATCGTATCATCTCGTGATACAAAGCAATTAAATGGAACATGTCATGGATAATACTAATATGAGTGTCATTTATAATTATAATACGGTGGCATAAAGATATACGAACACTTCATGCAACAGAACAATTTACATCGGATCGGTAATTTTACACACTGACGGCAGCAGCGTGAATGTTTTCATTCAATCATCTATGTAAGTAACAGACATAAACAAACAATGCTTCACTTAACAGTTGAAAATTGGTATTTGTGCTTTGGTGGTGCATACAAAAATACATGCATACAACTCGCGACTCAATTTATTGGTTTAGAACACGCTGACATTTATTTTTCATCTCTACAAAAACAAAAATTCAATTGATATTCGTGTAAAACAATGTTCCAATCAAAATGGAACAACTTTGTGCATTTCGATAAATTGTTATTGGATTAAATATAAATATTCGATTACGTGCAAACATAAATAAATGTTTGATGTATGTTAGTAGACCGCATTCATGGCATTCAAATCATACAAATAAACCAAATATGTCATGCTTGTTCGAACGAATATATTAGTGTTCCTTCGCTCTCCGATCACAAATGCAGCGAAAATCGATTGAAGAAAGTGCCGAATGTTGCAGGAAATGGAAATAGGAAAATGACAGGCAATCGTCGCCAAGTGAAAATGCATGTGTCATACGATTTCAAAAAGGGGTGCGAGAGAGAGAAGTTGTAAGTCTGGTAAGCACGTTTTGTCGCGTGCAATTGTGGGTACAATCGTGAACAAGCGCTCACTCATTGCACATCATCTGATGCAAAGGAAGACACACAGAAAAAATTAGACGTGCAAATCCGGTAACCTTTTATTCGTGCGGAAACATCTGTTCGATTGTATTTGTTATTTGTACGTTGCAAGCTTTGTTCACCGTCCGTCATATCGTACTCCAAAGTTTCTAAGAATTTATCTGAATTCGAGCGCAAACTGTCATTCCAATTCCAATATTTCCGATAACGGAATATTTTCGATGTGTTTTTCGATGACGACGATGACGAAGAAGTTTTGCCATTGGCAGTGCCATCGTTTATGCTTTCGCCGTCGTGTGCCATTGAAGTTTTATGATCGATATTGGTTGTATTTGATGGTAACGCTTCGATTCGATTCGAATTCGATTGAAATCTTGTTTCCTGTTCGTCATTTACTGTGTCACAACATTCTCTTTTTAACTCATTTAGTCTCATTTCATGTTTATACTGTTCAAATTTTGCATCAATATCATCATCATCGTCATCATCATTTTCGTTGTCCTCGTAATCGATGCAGCCGCAACAAATTCGAGCACAACACTTCCGTTGGCAGCACCATTTCCACCAGCAATAACAAAATATCGTTCGCCAACAATTTGCAATGGTGCAGCAACCATCGCTCTGATTGCATCGCCAATTACATTTTCGAGTGCAAAACTTGCTGTTAAAACAGCAGTTAAATCTTGATTGTGCACCAAACGAATGGCGCTGTTGGTGCAACGGTAGACCACGACGTCTTCCTTGTGTAATGCCACTGCTGCCACTTGAAGCGTTTATTGTTCGTGATTGTGCAATTTTATTTCGATGCATCTCAATACTAGCTGAAATTGTTGGCATCGTTTCTGGCATTTTATTCGTGTTTTTTGCCATTTTCTTTGTTTTTGCCTTGGATTTTTTGTTGCTGTTCGGCAACAAGCGTATGCGATTACTTTCGGTGAGATTTTCGCTACTATTGTAACTCGTCTCACCGCCAAATGTGCTGTAACGATTTTCATCTCGCGTCTTATAGCTGACTAAACGGGCCATTTTTTGTTCGTACCTTTAGTTTTCATATATTTTGGTTGTTGTTGACCCCGTCACTCTTACATTTAATAACCATCTAATCGGATTTCTGCTGTTTTTTCTACGTATATTTTCCTTTAATCTCAAATTTTCTTCAATTTTTACTTGGCGCTGAATCTACTTCCATTTCACTCTCATAATAATCAAATATCTAGTTTGAGAACGGGATTGAATGTTCCCGAATGAAAATTCCAAGAAATAATGTTTTCAATAAAGAAAATTTAAAAATTGCATTGTGTAAATTGGACGCGAGCATTCATAATAATTGTATTCACGAACGCATCGCAAAATAAGTGATTATTAAATTACATTTATTTGTTTTCATGTGCATTTTTCGACTGTGTGTCGGTGTGCGAGAGTGTGATTTTTTGAAATGAAGAATTTTTTTTTTCTGTGATGCGCTCACACAGTGAATGGAAAGGTATGGAAAGGAATGCCAGCGAAGACATGTGTGGGAATTTCAATTATATGGAAAATCCACGAAAAATTAATATTCATATATTTTTGTTTTTATGTAATTTGTTTTGTTTGCTAGAATTGTACTGCAACTTCAAATGTTATATTTGTTTAACTGCAGTCTGTGTATTCAAATGATGAACAAATGAGCACGTTTTATCCGGGAGCTGCTTATAGTCAGTTTCTCTCTCCATATCTCTTTTGGGTTCGTGTGTGCTCCAGTTGTTTTGTGAATGACGTTTTTTAAATCACATTGAGCATGACGCCACGAAACACATATTATACACACATTAAATAAACAGAGTTTGTAAATGCAAACTCACCCGCCAAATGCAAACATAAACACAACAGAATCAACGTACACATCGTATGATCTACGAAATTTATTTGGATATATCTTTTTCCAATGTGATGGTGATGAGGATGATGCTTACAAAGTAAACATAACTGAGTTTGTAACATAATAGAGTCAGTTTTTCCGATGTAATCTACAGACAAAAACGATAAAACGTTCTCGAATGGGGCTCGTATCATATGGTGAAACGTTAGTTTTTCAGTGCAGGCAATCATTGAACTACCAGTATTTGAAAGAGAACTATTTGAGGTTTATTCCATTGAATTGAAGACCATTTGAATGCACCCATGATATGATAGTTGGTTTTTTTCGGTGCACTTTACATAGGGGCACTTCCAAGTCATAAATGCTAACGAAAGCTTGTGCAAATGTAAATGTTCATTCGACCGATATTAATGCGATCCGAAAATGGTTTAATCCAGTAATTTTGTATCCAATCGTTCACTCGCATCATACACATACCTGCGTATCATATCGCGTCCATTTTCTAATGCGATGCATTGGAAAATGTTAGCCATGTTTTGTGTCTGATTTCGTATAGACAATCGATATTATGGCATTTGAAATATTTGTGTTGTGAATTAATTCGAAGCAAGAAAGATACACATATGAATCGTTGCGGCGAAACAGTAGCTCTTATTTTTCTCCAAATAATACTGCAACATGAAGTTTTTTTCACACGGTTTATTTGTTGTAATACAACAAATAAACTATTCATAAAAAAAATTATGTTGCAGTATTATTTGGAGAAAAATAAGAGCTACTCTTTCGCCGCAACGATTCATATATACACCACGTATAATTATAATACAATATGATAGTGTGCAAATGAAATTATTAAATGCGCGGCTTTGGGGCAAATTTGTATCGAACAATCGTCCACAAAAACAGAAACATTTTGAGTATACAATGCGTAGCAGAGTAAATCTATTTCAAATGCGATTTCATTTATAATTTATACATCGCATTATCATTAATATCATTCGATGTGTCTGTGCTGTGTATTTTGTACAGAAACATAATCCTTTCACTGAGCTCTCTTGCAACCGAAACACAGCTTCAATCAAAATAAACAACTTGAATCTGTTTGCCAGGGATTTGTCGCTGGTTGTTGTTGTTGTTTTTTATTATTAAATGAATAGAATCTGCACTCGGTATTGTTTGCTTGCTCTTTATAAATGGGATTCGATGCCAAATTACTGGCCATTTGGTGATGTGTCAACGTCAGTTCGTGATAAGATAGAATACAAATAGAATCGGTTCACATGCAAACATCAATAAATCAATATTAAACCAAGTGATATTAACTGATGGTAAACGGGTCACCATTCGAAAAGGACAATGTTTACTCGAATACGAATCGGTTCGGGTTGCGTTTTATTCTCTTTCACTCTCTCACTCTATTGTTATATTTCTTTTTTGCGTTGCTAATAGTTCGGATGCTGTGAAAAACCAAACACATAGCTGAGCTTTTGCAAATAATCTGTCGACGACGCATCTCATGCCAAAGTAGAGCGTATTATTTTATCATACGCATTTTTTTTGTTCCTTTGACACTGATTTTTTCCCAACGGGGTTCATCCAGGTGTGACAGAAACCAATCTCAAGCGATAAATGAAAATGTTCCGGCCTTTTTCCGCACCTCTCAACTTGAAAAGGTATTTACAATGGAAATTGGCTATTCTATTGGGGACTTTATTTTTCCTTGCTAATTCTTTATGGCTGACATTTCCACAGACAAAGCCGTTAATTTGCACGCAGTGCCACGTCAAAAAGGTGCGAACGAAAAAAACGACGTGATTTTATGTGACTTTCGGTGATAATGGATCTGTTTTTCTGAAATATTTTGTATGCAACGGCAAAGCACCGGCTTACACCAATGAGGTGAGATTTATCTCGACTAATCTTCCTTTGTCTCGGTTGATTCTATTGGCGGCCAAACGAATCATTTCACGCATCGAGTGAGATTGCATGGCCACCTACATTTTTGTATAAATTATAGCATATAATAAAAATAAAACAAATGAACCTATTAATTATGCCATCTATAAGATGGAGGACGGCTAGCATATCTGTGTGAA